AGTCACCTTAACTAGCTATTTATGGGGCTGAAATAGTCCCAGATGGTTTGGTTCTGGATGGGAAACTTTTCAACTCTCCACAAATCACAGAAATTCTGATCAGATCTGTCATTTAGCCTTATAGGATATTGAACATGCAGGTCTGCCTTTTTCTGGGAACTTCAGTTTACAATGGGAAACCTTGGAAGATCTTCTCCGTCCTGCCAAGAAATTTCTGTTTCTTTCTGGAAGCATAGCAGATCTTTAAATAAGTGATGTTGTGTGCAGTGTTAGGCAACCCAACTGGGATGCAGGTCCTAACATCACTGGTAGAAGAATGTGTCTAGGTTTCCCTGATGTTAAAGCACACAGATTTCTCAGGAAGACTTTTGTAATAAACAGACCACCAGTCCTCCAAAGACAGTGACCATCATTCATTCCTTTATGACTGTCAGAGAGCCCTGAGGTATGTCTAATGACAGATTGTAGGGACATCTTCAGAGAAAACTTTTCATCATGAAAGGAATACAACTGTTTATCTGGAGAGCATTCTCACTGGGTTGGTGCTTTTGGATTTTGAGGCAACATTGTGAATGAAGGTGATCACTGTCTGTAGGGAAGGAGGTCAGCTAGAATGTGAATGAAAGACAGCAGAAATTTCAGGGAGAAAAGTGACCACTGAGATGCAAAGTTCTGGCTGTAAGAGAAGCAATCTCCCATAGTTTGGAAAGTGCCTGCAGCTATTTCAATCCACCGGAATAACAAAATGCTCAGTCAGCCTGCTGTCTTTTTTTATTGTCTTGGCCTCTGAAATAGGAACATCTTGTACACACGATTTCTCACTAACTCAGTTTTAGTGAGTGTGTTCTGTGGAATTTATAGAGTGTTCCAGATACAGCCTACTTAAATATGCTGTTTTAAAAGTCTAGGTTGTTTGACCTGTGGCTTCATTGCTTCGAAGTTTTACATTTGTTCCTTGACTTAGGTTTCTATTGCTGTGATTAAACAGCATGACCAAAACAAGATGGGGAGGAAAGGGTTTATATATGCTTACAACTCTCATGTCATACTCTTTCACTGAGGAAAGTCAGGGCAGTAACTGAAGACAGGAACCTAGAGGTGAAACTGAAGCAGAGGCCATAGAGGAATGCTGCTTACTGGATTATTCCCCCACTACTTGCTCAGCCAGCTTTCCTAAAGCCCTCAGCACCACCTGTTCATGAGTAGTACTTCACACAGTGGGCTGTGCCCACCCTTATCAATCATCAGTCAAGAAAACATACCACAAGCTTGCCATAGACCAGGCGTGATTTTTTCAACTATGGCTCCCTCTTCCAAAATGACTCTAGCTGTGTCAAGTTGACATAAATCAAATAACACACTCCTTTTGTGCTTTGCAAATTTCAAAGCAAAGCATCTTTATGAGTTTGAGCTAATTTCGTTGATCAAACACAAAATGAGAAAAGTGGGGAGTTTGTTCTTCTCTATAACAAGGTGGGAAATTCAAGGTAAAAGACTGCTTGTATTTATTTCTTTTCCTGTTTGTAGCTGAAGTTTTCTCCAGTCCTGCCCAGCCCCATGGACCCCACAAATGCTTATAAAATAATCACTCAGAAGCTTATATTAATTAAACTGCTCGGCCATTAGCTCAGGCCTACCACTGACTAGCTCTTACTCTTAAACTCAGCCCATTTTTGTTAATCTATATGTCACCACATGTTCTGTGGCTTTACCTGTTGCCTTTACATGTTGCTCCCTGGACGGCGGGCTGGTGTCTCCTGACTCAGCCTTCCTGTTCCCAGAATTCTCTTTTCTGCTTGTCCTGCCTATACTTCCTGCCTGGCTACTGGCCAATCAGCACTTTATTTATATAGAGCAATATCCACAGTACCTGTTTCTGTGATCAAACATCATGACAGGGGCAACTTAAGGGAGAAAGGATTCAGTTTGGATTCACAGTTCAAGCACACAGTCCATCATGCTGGGAAGTCAAGGCAGCAGGAGCTTGAATAGCTGGTTACGCTGGAGTCATGGTCAAGAAACAGAACACAACAAATGTTATACTCAGCTACTCTTTCTACTTTATACAGTCCAGGATCCCTCACTCAGGAAACAGTCCTGTACACAGTCATTTAACGTAATTAAGATAATTCCCCACAGGCATGGCCAGAGTCTATCTTCTAGGTGATTCCAGACTGTCAGATTGACAGTTAATGCTAATCATCATACTTCACCAAAGCCACATATTGGAAATGGTTTCCTTGGGTTCTAAAACATTAAGTTCATAGTGGGAAGAACATACAGTATACATGATGGTTGTTAGTCCAAGATTTCAATAGTTACTGATACTAGCTTTACAAAGTCTAGATGGGATGGCATACTGGATTCAGAAAGACCATGAAATCTGGAAATGTGCTGTTCCCTGCCTGCCTCCTTCATCAGATTGTGGTTATTCAACTTCAGGGCACTGTTCATCCAAAATGGTACCTGGCCTAGAGGAGATATTGCATGCTTATTGACAGTCACTGGACTCAGATCTTTAACCTGCAAATGACTATATGGTCTGAGTCAAGTTCCCTATATTCCAATTTGGGTTGAGTTATAAAAAAGATTATACCTACTTAGTTTATATTATTATAAGTCTCAAGCGAAATCATGTTTCTAGCACAAAATCATGGTAACTCAATGTGAACTGTAAGCCCATTTTGAAAGAAGTAATTCTTTGCTAGTTGACTTGTAAGATAACTATAGAAGTTATGTTTAAGCTGCTTAAAAAGTGATATTAAAACTAAATCCATGCAATTAAGTCCCTAAGTTTTTACTACTTAATGGTATTTTCAGTATTATTTTTTCAGCTTTGACATCATATAAAATAAATATTTAAGTCCTTTAAAAATCAATTTTGGCCGGGCGGTGGTGGCGCACGCCTTTAATCCCAGCACTCGGGAGGCAGAGCCAGGCGGATCTCTGTGAGTTCGAGGCCAGCCTGGGCTACCAAGCGAGTCCCAGGAAAGGCGCAAAGCTACACAGAAAAACCCTGTCTCGAAAAACGAAAAAAAAAAAAAATCAATTTTAATTAATTTTCTCCATTGCCATGGAGTATTTCTGAGATCACTTAAATGAGGTCTCCTGGGGAAGTCTTTTGATATGGACACAGTTATAGTTATCATTATTAGAGATATTGATATAACAAGACCCTGTAACAATGGGAACACTAGTCTTTGGGGCCTATTCTTTTCCAATTATTATTCATGTGCATTCTAAATAGAACTTTCACATATGTTATTAAATTTATGGACCTGTTAATAAGTATAGTCAATTAATTTTACACTAGTATTAGTAGCAACTGAAACAAGCTTTAGCTGGGAAAGAGGCTAAGAACTTCAAACTGTATCCATGGTCATTCCGCATGATCCCTGGTTCTACACAAAGACACATACACACAGACACAGAGACACACAGACACAGACACACACACATACACACCTCTATCCCCAGCACAAATGTCTTATTCAACTTAAACATATACTCATTTGTTGTATAACCTGGGTAAACCATCTGTAAGAATAACAGTGTGTTAACTTTATTAGGTCACATAAAAATGGAATCACTGTTTCATTCTTAGTTTAAATAAACAAGGTCTATCTAGTTTCTTTACAATGAAAATTTAAAATGCTGTGACTGTTTTGCTCCTTTACCATGAAGGTGACTTCCATAAACTATAAATACAATTAAATATAAACAAATATCTCTCAGACAGGCACACCACTCCACTAGTCCTTACTGTGTCCTCAACACTGTTCTTCATGTCAACTTTTTAAAATGATCCTTTTTACAATTTATAAACATCCCACAGATGATAAAGAGCCACTGGCAGGGCACAGGGCAGCCCCATTTTATAGATGGAAAGAACTAAGATGCAAAGAACAAGCTCCTCACAAGCAACAGCCTCTAAATAATCCCCTCTGTCTGTCAGTATTGGGCATCTTAAGCTGCTGATAAAGTGAAGCAGAGGTCTGTGCTCCATTATATTCAGATCAGCCCCTACAAGACTATTATAAATATCCCAAGACTGCAAAAGCACTTTCAACTCCACCTAACTCCTCCATTTCATCACTTGTTATTAATCTCAGTTTGCATCCGACTGAGGGATTTCCTTTGCATATATCACAAAACTTGTTGATTGTGCACCATCTGCAGACATAAAGCCGTCTCTGTCTCTGTTACTAGACCACATCCTGGCAGCATGGGCAATGGCAGCATTTTAATTGAGCAGCAGTGAGTTCATGAGGCAGAAGCGTGCTGGTATAAACGTGACATCACTGATAGTGAGCAGAGGCTTGACTCATCCTCTCCCATCCTTCTGCCCTCTCTCCCATTCTTCTGCTGTATGCAGTGTCCTTAAATAAGCGAAGTTTAAGTTGTATGTGTTTAAGCTTAGGTGAAGAAAACACCACTATGCCAATAATAATGAGTTTGGTTATAATTTATTTCACATTAGGCACACAAGTAGACTATCTCAATATTGTCAGCATTGTTTTTTTTTTGAATACTTTCCACAAGGCTTGTATTAGCCAGTAGCATTTTGCACATTGAAAAAAATACATGCATATGCTATTTTCCATTTTCTGAAATAAAAATATCAATGGGCTCACAGGGAAAGAATCAATATGTCTGAATGAACTCATAATTTTTTATTTCAATATCATTTTTAAAGAGTCTCCTGGTTTATATGGCTCATGAAAATGATACCCAGAATCATCAATGGAGAGTTTAGCTTGTCTATCAGCCTAAACTGTTCTCCTATCATGGACCTAAGCGTTGAGGAATGGACTTATCAGCCATGTGTGGAGGTTCCTCTTAATCTTTGAACTTGCTGCATCATTAGATTGGTATACTTGGTGATTTTATCATGTCTTGGGGGTGAATAGGGAAACAAGTACAGTGATTATATATACCTTTTTAATGTTTACATTAGTTATCAAAATGGTTTTGCTTCCTACCCCTACCATTATATGAAGCCTCTCACTTTGAAAGTCACAGACTACGGACTGGTAAGTCCATCAGCTCTCTTGTCTCCATGATCATTCATTTTTCTAGCTGAGCACATGAACATTGGTTGCATAGTATTCTTTTTAAACCCAAACTATTTCTAGCCTGTGAAGTTGTTATTTTATTTAAAAACATTAGAACATCCATTCACTGGCAGAACAACTTTTTTTTTTGGTCATTTTGCTTTCTAAACAAATATACATTCCCAAGAAGACGTTCATAACTTTGACATTTGTTCCAGTTGCACATCTTTACTTTAACAATCAGTTTTCATTTGTGTGATGCTGTTTCATGTTTGTTTCTTTCCTTGTGTTTTTGTGTCTTGAAGGAAACTGTGATTGTGAATTGCAAAATAGGTAAGGGATCAAGCCCTTTTCCAAGTCTTCATCCTTAGTCATGAAGTATTTGTAGTTTTTATAATTCAATGTGGCTTCTGCCCGAGGACTGTCCATCTTGTTTTCTTACCCTTCTATGTTAGTGATCAGCTCTCAGCTGTACCTCCAAGTCTTTCTTGGGGTTTCACATGGACAATACTACCCATCATTTGAAAACACCTCCAATAGATATACCTCCATTTGAGACACCTGAGGTACTGGCTTTTTAGTTGACAAGTTGATGAAAAATTAAAGTGTGTTGACCATTTCCAGCAGTTGACAATTTTCATGAAGCTCTTTTAATTATTATTTATTAAAAGAAACCCTTGGTGCTGTTTTGTAGGTATGTTAGTGGCTTTACCATGAGCCATGTGATGATGCCTTGAGAGCAAAGCAAGCCTATTTATAAAAGATGTAGAGTTCATCACTATGCACAAAACAAGGTAGTGGGGAAGGAAGTTTCAACCTTTGGGTTTTTGTAAAATGTTGCCAACCCATGCTGCTGCTTTTAACAGAGAGAAATCTGAGTTTTAAGATTTACCTGTTCTTTTCTGACAAAGAAAAAGTGCATCTATCTGCCAAGCGCATGATCCTAGGAGCTTCAGATAGAAGCGTGGTGGCTGGGACTGGGTTCTGTTCTGGGTGCAGAAAGCTGCTAGCTGGATATGCAAGTGTTGGAGGTGGGGGCAAGAGGGAGGGCACCCGGGGATGGTCACACTCATCCTCTACCCTTCCCACAGGAGAGAAGGTACTGCAGGATGACGAGTTTACCTGTGACCTCTTCCGATTCCTGCAGCTGCTTTGTGAGGGACACAACTCAGGTGGGTGATCTGCAATCCTGGATGAGGAGAGCAAGGAAGTGACCCTCGCAGCTATGACAGCAGCAACCCATGGCTTCCAAGTGGAGTTGAGCTTCTGAGTTGGTGGGGATTGAGCATTGTTTTACAGGCACTGAGCACTGTGCCATGGCAGGTGATAAGTGGTACTGCTGCTTCGAAAGTCTTTGTATAGCTTTTTCACAGCCCCCTCCCTCCCTCTCCCTCCCCAGTCCCTTGTTCTTCTTCCTCTCCCCCCTCCCTTCTCTCCCTCTCCTGCTTCTCTGTCTTCCACTCTTATTCACTCCCTTCCCCCACTCCCTATACTTCTCCTCCCTTCCTCCCTCCCAGTTTTTGAGACAAAGTCTCTTTGTTGTAGCCCTGGCTGGCCCCAAACTGGCTGTGTGCACCAGCCTGACCTTGAACTTGCAGCACTCCTTCAGCCTCTGCCTCCCGAGTGCTGAGATTACAAGTGTGCACCCTGTCCCTGGCTTTGCTTGATTCTTCGCAGTATTGTAATGTTAGTGAAAACAAGGGGTGTGAAAATCATAATAGCAATAATAATAATATATTTTCACAGCAATGTGGACAGCTGTCTCTTTTGTACTAGTTTTACTGACTTGGGTGTACACTTGTTTATATTGCTTGGTGTATTTCTACTCCTGGTTTTCATACCCAGCTCTTGGCCAGCCTCAGTGTTGTCTTTGTTTTCTAAACATTTTGTGCAATACTTCAGAACACAAGATTCCTGAATAAATAATTCTGTTTTATGTCCTCAATGATGGAAACCTTCTCAGTCATTTATATGGCCAGAGCTCTAGAGTGTGGGATAAGATGATATTAGCAATGTCTTAATCTGGAATTGAGCGTTGACATTCTATGAAGCTTCTAAGTATGTTTTGGGAGATAATTACTGAATTTAGTTTTTGTTTATGTGGCTGGAAATCAATTCGAGGGCCTTACACATGTGAGGCAGGCTCTCTACTGCTATGTAACTGGTGGTTTATAGGAAGTACAAGTGATTTCACATTCAAATGATCAGAAAAAACACTACCCTTTGCCACCCTAATGTTATTGTTGAGGGCATCAGTGACTTGTAGGGTCCCTTATTTTGTACTTCCGAGGGGGTCTTAATAAAAAAAATTGGTTTTATGTAGATTTTCAAAATTACCTGAGAACTCAGACTGGCAACAATACAACTGTCAATATCATCATCTCTACGGTGGACTACCTCCTCCGAGTGCAGGTAAGTGCTCACGCCTGCCAGCTCCAAGTAGCCCTGGGGTCAGCTGGCCAGCTGCAGAAGTTCTGTTAAGTGAGTTTGAATGTGTGTGAATTTATGGCTGGATAAGTCGTGGGCTTTATTGCTGATCATAATCTTCCCATAATTCTTAGGGAAAACTGGCAGTACTTTGGCCCCTGGCCCTGACTCCTAACATGCCCATTGGTTTCTCTGTGTATATGTATGTTTTTTGGTAACCTCTCATTTTGAGCTCAGTGGCATTCTAGATTCATTCCTGTTTTGTGAAACACTTCGATGCATGATTCTTGCTCCTTGAGCTGAGACAGTACTGGGGAGAGTATTTGAAACATTCCTAAAAGTAAGACAGTCCATCCCACTGCACTCAACTTTGCCGTTCCAAGCTTAGTTTTATAATTGTCTTAATATTTCGCTGTTTTAAATTTCACCTTAACATCTTGTTGCTTAGAAATACCTCTGAGGCTGAATTTGTGTCTAACCTGTTTGCCAGGTTGGAGCTAAAGGGATGAGGCTGGAATAATGATAACAACTCTGTAAAGCTTTTATTTCTCTCATTTTCCTATAAAAATGTCAGGCCCAGTATTAAACAAATAATCAGAAACCTAGAAGTTCAAAACTTCCAGTTTTTTCCTTGATATTTAAAAAAAATCCCTGGCACCAGGATTCTGACTTAAGGTCTTGAACTCACACTGTATCCAGGAAGCCCTTAAACTTGTGATTTTTGTCTTAGGTTGTCTCCCATCCCCAACAGCTGGGATCATAACATGACATCACCAGGCCAGGCCTATATTGCTTTGAAAATAAATGAGCATGGCTATTTTAGTCGCTTCCCTTCTCTTCTTCCCTCCCCTCCCCCTTCCCTTTCCTCCCCTCCCCTCCCCTTCCCTTCCCCTCCTCTTCCCTCCCCTCCCCTTCCCTTCTCTTTCCTTCTCCTCTCCTCCCCTTCCCTTCCCCTCCTCTTCCCTCCCTTCCCCTTCCCTTCTCTTTCCTTCTCCTCTCCTCCCCCTCCTCTCCCTTTCTCCTCCCCTCCCCCCTCCTCTCCCTTTCTCCTCCCCTCCCCCCTCCTCCCCCTTTCTCCTCTCCTCCCCCTCCTCTCCCTTTCTCCTCCCCTCCCCCTCCTCTCCCTTTCTCCTCCCCTCCCCCTCCTCTCCCTTTCTCCTCTCCTCCCCCTCCTCTCCCTTTCTCCTCCCCTCCCCCCTCCTCTCCCTTTCTCCTCCCCTCCCCCTCCTCTCCCCTTCTCCTCCCCTCCCCCTCCTCTCCCTTTCTCCTCTCCTCCCCCTCCTCTCCCTTTCTCCTCCCCTCCCCCCTCCTCTCCCTTTCTCCTCCCCTCCCCCTCCTCTCCCTTTCTCCTCTCCTCCCCCTCCTCCCCCTTTCTCCTCTCCTCCCCTCCCCTCCCTTTCTCCTCCCCTCCCCTCCCCTCCCCTCCCTTTCTCCTCCCCTCCCCCCCCTCCTCCCCCTTTCTCCTCCCCTCCCTTTCTCCTCCCCTCCCCCCTCCTCCCCCTTTCTCCTCCCCTCCCCTCCCCTCCCTTTCTCCTCCCCTCCCCCCTCCTCCCCCTTTCTCCTCCCCTCCCCTCCCCTCCCTTTCTCCTCCCCTCCCCTTCTCCTCCCCTCCCCCCTCCTCCCCCTTTCTCCTCTCCTCCCCCTCCTCCCCCTTTCTCCTCTCCTCCCCCTCCTCTCCCTTTCTCCTCTCCTCCCCTCCCTTCCCCTTTCCTCCCCCTACCCTCTGCTCTACTCTTTTCTTCACCTTTATTCCTTCCTTTCTTCCTCTCTCTCTCCCTCCTTCTCTGCCACTCTCCTCACTATCTACCCCCTTCCTTCATTCCTTCTTTCTTCCCATCTTTCTCTCCTTGATAGGAGAAAAGTCCATTATGAAACAAATATATCAAAAGGCACTTCTGAAAACACATTTGTAAGTTCTTAAAGACTATGTCATCAAACTCAAATGAAGTTCATATGTTCAACAAAATTATATTATTCATTTAGACAACAAAGGCTTCTTCCAAGTGTGAGTACATGGGACGTATCCGTGAGTATCAATCTCACAGGCATTGGTTTTCAGCTCTTAGTGATCATGAGCAGGCCAGCCACTGTCCTTAGCTACAAAAGCTAGGAGCACCATGGAATTCTCTTGCTGAAATACTCCTGGCTCCTCTGGAGAAAAAGGAGGTCAGATGTCTGCAAACCCAAAAACATTGTTCCATGGCCTGTCTGCTTGTCCGGCTCATATTATAAGCATCCAATTTCACTCAGTGGACAAATATATTAGTCTTCCTGAATTATTACCGTTGTCAAAATCAAGGTGATCAGAGAGGAATTCTTAAAGCTAAGTTCTTTGCTTGTTATTTTGAGGGAGGTGTTTCTGGGGGTGCTGGAGTTGTTCCACACTGTATACTTGGGGAGAAGGTTGATGACTGGCATCTACTTCCCTGCCTTCCTTTTGCCGCTGTATCTAAGATCTCTATCTGTGCAGGCTCTAAGCTGGGCTGGGGCAATGCTAACTGGCTAATGCCCTTCCACAGCATGGTCTCTGTTTTCCAGGAGTCCATTAGTGATTTCTATTGGTACTACTCTGGGAAAGACATCATAGATGAACAGGGCCAACGCAACTTCTCCAAAGCCATCCAAGTGGCGAAGCAGGTGTTCAACACTCTCACGGAGTACATCCAGGTAAACATCAAGACATTTCTGCTATTTACAAAAAAACAAAAACAAAACAAAAAACAGTTTTAAAGAGACTTTTCTGACTGGGCCTGGTACCACAGATTTTTATTCCAGCTAATCACGATGTGAGGCAGAAAAATCCAAAATTTAAGGCCTGTCTGGTTTACAGAGTGAGTTCTGGGCTAACCTGAGCAATTTAATGAGACACAATTAAGAAGTAAAGAGGACAGATGATGTGGCTCAATGGTAAAACATTTGCTTGGCATGTGTGAAGCTCTAGGTTCAATCCCCAACACTTATAGCTAGGTAGGTGGGTAGATAGATAGATAGATAGATAGATAGATAGATAGGTAGATAGACATAAAATTTAACCAGTTACCATTGAATTCCATAGAAAATGTATTGCACCTAAAATATATTCCACATTCCTATTGACTTTTCAAAAATATTAATTTTATTTATATATTTTTTATTTTTTTATTTATGTATTTATTTTTATGTGTGTATGGGGTACCCCGGGAAGCCAGAAGAGGGTGTCAGATGCCCTGGAACTGGAGTTACAGGTGATTGTGAGCTGCTGTGTGGGTGCTGAGAACCAAATGTGGGCCCCCTGGAACAGCAACGAGCATTGTTAGCCTCTTATCTATCTTCTCAGCACTCCTATCCATTCTGTGCATTCTCTTTGCCAATATCCAGACTAAACTATAAGATGGAGACCTGTACTTATACACCATGACACTGTGGTTTTTGGACAGACTGAGATATGACTTATTCACTACAGGAGTGGTTTGGGTGATTTTGCATTTCTAGGGCCTGTAGTAATTGTTGAGCATTCAATGAATACAAGGGAAAAGAAAAGAAAGGAAAGAGAAACTGGGTCATTAGTGATAGTATTTCAGTGACAGTGAAGCTGAAGTCTCATAGAAATAATTTTAAAAAAAGCATTTAAGAAACTATGTTCAGATAAGGATGTACACTGCATTCCTTTCAGCTTTAAAGACTGTAAATGGGTGAGGTTTTATAACATCATTTCCCATCTTAATTCATGTTATTTCTGAGCTCTGGAACTAGGCAGCACTTCATTTCCTAAAGTAGACTAAGTCTGTTCATGAGCTAGCAGAAGGGGCCTGAGAAGTTGAAGGTTACGGGCTGGTCATTCAGGGTTGTTCTCCCTGTCTCCTGGGCTGGGGAGGCAAAACAATTTACAAAGCAGTAACCGACCGATCAATATCAGGATATATGATCAGACTTAGGTGTGATTTTTGTGTCGGGATTGTGTTAAGGAGGCTCTTTCATTATCTTTCCAACTGAACTAGATCTAGGAATTAAATGTCCTTATCTTTCTGGTTTTTAGAAGGCAGATTAACTAACAGCTTGGCTTTTGGCTTGGTAACCTGGAACCTTAGCATGAATGGCTTTATTTTGATTTTCAGCCCAATTTTAGTCCAAATAATGGTGTACTGCAATATTCATTTGCTAATGGAATAGTGGGTGTGCAGCCTTAGGCTACTCACACAAGTCCTAGTTAGCCATATGTGATGTAATACATTATTTATTATTATTATTATTTTTAATTTTTTCATCCTAACCAGAGTTTCTCCTCCATCCTCTCCTCCCAGTTCCTCCCCTCCCACCTCCCCTCTGCCCCCTGCTTTATCCACTCCTCCTCTATTTCTATTCAGAAAAGGACAGGATGTCAACAAAACATGGCATGTCAAGTTATAGTAAGACTCAGCACCTCCCCTTGTATTAAGGCTGGTCAAGGCAACCCAGTATGAGGAATAGGGTCTCAAAAGCCAGCAAAAGAGTCAGAGACAGTCCCTGTTCCCACTGTTAGGAGTCCCACAAGTGGACAGAGTTACACAACCATAATATATATAGAGAGGACCTAGGTCAGTCCCATGCAGGATCCCTGGTTGTTGATTCAGTCTCCGTGAGCTCCAAGAACACAGGTTAGTTGATTTTGTGAGTTTTCTTGTGATGTCCTAGATCCCTCTGGCTCCTCCAATCCTCTCTCCCTCCCTTCAGCAGGATTACCCAAGCTTGGCCTAATGTTTGACTATGGGTCTCTGCATCTGTTTTTACCAGTTGCTGGTGAAGGCTCTCTGATGACTATTAGGTTAGGCACCAATCTATGAGTATAGCGGAATATTGTTAGACATCATTATATTGACATTTTTTCCCCAGTTGTGTTTGGTTCTATCCTAGGTCTCTGGGCAACCTAGTCTCTGGGTCCTGGCATTCTAGGCAGTGTCAAGGGTGGGCTCATTCTTGTGGCATGGATCTCAGGTTGGACTGGTCATTGGTTAGCCACTCCCACAATTTCTGTGTCACCCTTACGCCAGCACATCCCATAGGCAGGACAGACTGTAGGTCAAAGGTTTTGTGGCTGGTTTGGTTTTCCACTCCCTCCACTGGAAGTCTTGCCTAGTCATAGGAGGTAGCCAGTTCAGGCTACATATTCTCTTTTGCTAGGAGTCTTAGCTGGGGTCATCCTTGTAGATTCCTGGGAGTTCCCCTTTCACCAGGTTTCTACCTGACCCTGAAATGGGCCCCTTTCCAGTTGACTCTTTCAGTACACTCCCCGCAACTCCCGCCACCTGATCCTTCATGTTCCTTTCCATCCCCACCCACCCTCAGTCTACCCATGAAGTCTCCTCTGTTTCCCCTTCCAGGGAGATCCAAGTGTCCCCCTAGAGCCCTTCTTGTTACTTTCATGTTACAATCTGTGGATTGTAGCATTATCCTTTACTTTACAGCTAATATTCACTTATGAGTGAGTACATACCATGTTTGTCTTACTGTGTCTGGGTTACCTCAGGATGATTTTTTTCCTAGTTCCATCATTTGCCTTTGAATTTCATGATGTCATTGTTTTTAACAGCTGAGTAATATTCCATTGTGTAAATGCACCACATTTTCTTAAACTCTTACTTTGACTCAAAACCTTAAGTATCTCCCAAAGGAAGTCATTACAAAGCAAAGACCCAGTTGATTTTCTGCTGTTCACCATTGACTTTTTGGTCTGTTCTCCTTGATACTTGTAGCATGCATTCCTGTGTTGCAACTGCACTTCCATAGCACTGAAATCCTACAGATCCATTGTTTTGGGGCCAGAAGCTACCATGGCCATAAGCAGGACAAGTACAGAGAGATGGGAAGGGGAGGAGAAGGCACACATATGCTAAGGCACATGCGTGGATGCCAAAGGACGTATTTCAGGAATTAGTCCTTGCCTTACATCTTGTTCAGGTTCTATTTCTTGTTTCTGTTCCTGAGTAAGGTACTTCAGTCTAGCCTGCAAGCTTTTCTACAATCCTCTTGTCTCCACCTCCCATCTTGTCTTAGTTAGGGTTTTATTTGCTTTGAAGAAACACCATGACCACAACAACTCTTATAAAGGAAAACACTTAGTTGGGGCTGGCTTACAGGTTCAGAGGTTTATTCCATTAGCATCATGGTGAGAAGCATTGTGGTGTGCAGGCAGACATGGTGCTGGAAAAGGAGCTGAGAGTTCTATATCTTGATCTGCAGGCAGCATAAGGAGACTGTGTGCTACAGTGAGTGTAGCTCGAGCATATGAGATCTCAAAGCCTGGCCCCACAGTGACACACTCCCTCAAACAAGGCTACACCTCCTAATAGTGTCACTCCCTATGCACCAAGTATTCCAACACATACACACACACACACACACACACACACACACACACACACACACACACACACACACACGAGTCTATGGGAGCCATACCTATTCAAACCGCCACACCCCTCAATGTAGGAGGACTGGCATAACAGATGTGCACCACTGAATCTGGCTTTTTTATTTTTTTAATGAGGGTCATAGGGATTGAATTCATCTCATCAGGCTTACACAAGCGCTTTTTATCCATTGATCCATCTCCCTGGCTTGACATTAAAATTTAAGAGTTTATTTTAACAATCATTGAATTCACTTTGTGAGGATTACTTGTGAGTTCAGTTAAGTTACCTCTTTGTAAATCAGGCTCAGCCAGCCTGCAGGTGACTCAGTGCTCCACCAGGGGGCAGGGTGGGAGGACGTTTATCCTGTGTTTTTGGAAGTAATAATGTTTTAAATAATGCATCTAATATGTAACATATATTAAAGAAACTACTTGTTATGTATACCTAATATATGATTGGCTGAATAATAAGGCTTCTAATTAGAGGTTCCTTGTCTGTCCCTGACTGTTGAACTCATGTTTACAATGATGTGGCTTGGTTTGGCTTATGAGGGAGTCCAAAGCTAGAGCTCTTTCAGCCAATAGCTTTCCAATAAAATATTTTAACAGAATCAATTCCCTTGGATTCAAGATTTATGAAGTTAATGATCAAGTATTAATTTTTAAATTGTCAGTAGTTACACTGTTTGCTAAGTAATTGTACAACTGAATCATCAAAGAGGGGTTGTTTCCTTCATGTGAATATTATATCCATGTTACGACTTAGGAATAAGAAAAGATTTCTTCTTCTCCTAAGCGCATTCTCATATTTTTGTTGTTTTTGTTTTTTGAAAGAGGGTCTCATGTTGCCCAGGCGAGTCCCTAGCCATTTAGTGTACAAGTGTGGTAGCCCGAGATGACCTTGAACTCCTTCCTCTCTGTTGCTGGTATCACAGGCCTGTGCTACCACACTTGTTTCACATACTCTTTTTACACAAGGTAGTAACTATTGATTTGACTAAGCGACCAAACCATCGGTATCCCCCCCTTTTCCTAAACAGATGAAATAATCGGTGTCTCCAGTGTTTTCATCTATCTATCTATCTATCTATCTATCTATCTATCTATCTATCTATCTATCTATCTATCTATAGAAACAACACATCAAAATACCTGAGAAGTTCTTAGGGACACTTAACTAGACAGTTCCAGGAAGAACACTCGCTGTCAAGGGCACCTTATTCCTACCATATTTCATTCATTTTATGCCTCTCTTCATAGATAAGAAGCTGGCAATAAGATATATAAACAGGGAATTAAATTTTTTTCTTTCCTTAAAGTTTATAATTAGTCAAATAAATAATTCTAAATGATCACTGTCCCTCTGTTCATGCTGCAGGGCCCTTGTACTGGAAACCAGCAGAGCTTGGCACACAGCAGGCTGTGGGATGCTGTTGTGGGCTTCCTGCATGTATTCGCTCACATGCAGATGAAGTTGTCTCAGGTAAGTCAGCGGCCTTTAACTGAGTGGGTCCAACATGGACTGTAACCACTAGCAACTACACATGCATCCTTATGTTTTGATATTATCTCTTCTACATCACTTACCTATGGGCCTTTTACTCTATGTCAAATATTTTATTTTTTCAATTTTTATTTCTTTATTTTATTTTTTAATAAATCACTTTATTATAATGAGTTCACAAATAAAATATCACATGGTTAAGGTAGATGGTTTCTTAAAGATTTATTTTTAAGTGTGTGTATGTCACATGTAATTGAAGGCATACATAAAGGACAGAAGAAAGCATTGGCTCCTGTGGAGCTACAGTTTTAGATGGTAGTAAGACACCTAATGTGGATGCTGGAAACTAAACTCAGGTCCTGTGCAAGAGCAGTAAATGGCCTTAACCATTGAGTCATTTCTTTACCCTATACGTCAGATATTTTAATAAAAAACACCTTATCCCTCTAATGGAGAGGGTACCAGCTTTTGGACCAAAGGAATGATTCTGTCCAAGTCCAACTTGGGTGAACAATGAGTTGGGTGAACCTATCAGATAATGGGTGACTCAGAAGCAACTGCATCATCACAGAACCCGCTGGATGACTTCCTTAGGGACAGCTAGACCACTGAAGGCTCCCACATGTGATATGGAAAATTCATAAAATCAGCACAACTAAAGAGTTCCCACAATCCTAGGGCAAACACAGTACTGCAGAGCACCCATCAAGACCAAAACCCAGAGCACTTCATGTAAGGTTAGCACAGAGGGAGAACAAGGGATATGAAGCAGCCATTACCATTTCACAGCCTTCTGACCCATTCTTTGCTCTTGGTTCATTGGGAATTTTCTTCCCACTCACAGATATTGAAAAGGGATTTGAAACCTGTGATAAATTTGTTAAGATGAGGAAGTCCTTACAAGTTCACACACAAGCAAAGATGACATTCGCTCCCTACCAGGAATGTTAACTTTTTGAAAGTCAAAGAAGAGACAATGGTTGTAAAGATAAACAAGGGACATGCTTTGATATTAATTAACAAAGTCTGTTGGGAGCATCAGCTTCCTGCTTCCCTACCACCATGCCTGTTTCATTTCAAACCAAATATGCATGGCTAGAAAAAACTTAATATCATCCCTGGGTAAACGGGCCTCTGGTTCAGGGCATCTTGGTGGTATCAAAAGACCTGACACACCTGTTGGAAATGGGTGCCTGCCACATGATAGAAAAAGGAATGCAAGAGTTAGTCAGAAGAGAGGTGATCAGAGGGTGAAGGCACTAGCTGCCAAGCCTGGAGACCGAGTTTGATCCCCAGAACCCACATAGTGGAAGGAGAGAGCCACCCCCTGTTAATTGTCCTATGGCCACCATAAGCTTGCAGTGGCACCTGAGCATGCACATATGCATGCGTGCACACACATACGTGCTACACACTCTCTCAAAATAAGTAAATGTGTGTAAAAAAAAAAGAATAAGAAAAAAGGAGTCAGAGAGAATGGAAAATACAGTCTTTTCAAGTAAAAACTGTGTCCAGTATGCAGAAACAGCTGAATCTTGCCTAGAATTAGCATGTGCCTCAGGACTTAGGTTCCTCCACATACCTGTTGGGCACATGTCCTTATAGGCATTTCAGCAAACACACATCAAAAGTGAGCAGTAAAGGTTCTTTACTTCATCAGTCTGTCGGTTTTTAGCAAGCCATGTGTTTATATTTAACATCCAGTAGTTCTGTGATGCCTTAAAGGGCTTAGTTTTGGCAACCGAGAAGTTTCCTGTGAGGACAGATGTGATCTGGCCATGTGTTCTTCTCCTTATCTTGAATGTAATATATTAATATTTTCAGGATTCCAGCCAAATCGAGCTCTTGAAAGAACTAATGGATCTCCAGAAGGACATGGTGGTCATGCTGCTGTCCATGCTAGAAGGTAGGGCTTTAGTGTGTCCTTTCAAGTTCTCTTTTATTCTTGTTGGACAAATTTGTGCTTGTGTTTGGCATCACCGTGGAGCAAGGCATAATGCTGTGAAGCAATGCTCAGCTACTCGGATGCATTGCTGGGTGTCTTAGTTTCTCTTCTTGATGCTACGATGAAACTTCCTGATAAAAGTAACTTGATAGAGAAATGGTTGTTTCTGTAGCACATTCTATCCTAGTGAAGAAACTAAGGTAGAAGGAGATTGAAGCAGCTGGTTACGTTGTACTCATAATCGGAGAGCACAGAGCAATGAATGCCTGCTAGTGTTCAGGTCCTTTCTCCATTTTGTACAGTCCAGGATCCCCTGCCCAGAGGATGGTCTTGCCCACAAGTAAGATGGGTTTTCCAACACCAATCAACATAATTGAGAGAATTCCTCAGGGGTATTCCCAGAAGCCCACCTCAGGCTCCTCACCTATTGTTGCTGTCCGCAAACAGATGTTACAGCCCCCTTGCCAGGCATAGTGTTCTGTTTGTTTTGGGGTTCATAGAACTCCCTGTTTTAGGAATACAGCCCTCTGTGGGTTGGCAATTTACAAAATAACCTTGTTTTCTGAGGCTTGGCAGTAATCTACCCTTTTCTTACTCCAAACCCTGGACCATGGGGAGATACAGGATGGTGGTTTCTATTATAAATCAGAAAATGAGGGGGGAGGGAGAGAGAGGGAACTTAAGTTGTCAGTCATAGGAGTAAGTGCCCTTTTCTGATGCACCATCTCGCAGGCCCAGAAATATTATTTAATGTGTGGAACCTAATTACTTTGAAAATACAGCTTTTCCAGTATTTCTATAATCACTTTTTGAGATGTTAGTTTAGAAATAATTATCTATCTGCTCTCAAGGCCTCATACATTAGGAGAAAATTTAAATCAATGAATTTGGTTCTTGTTTAAGTCCAGGTTTGTATGATTATTTTGTCTGTAGGTACAAGTTTTGTAAAAAAAAAAAAATTCTCATTTTTAAACAACTACACATGCTTTTCCACCAGGTAACGTTGTGAACGGAACGATAGGCAAACAGATGGTGGACATGCTTGTGGAGTCATCTAACAATGTGGAGATGATCCTCAAGTTCTTTGATATGTTTTTGAAACTAAAGGACTTGACGTCCTCTGACACATTTAAGGAGTACGACCCTGATGGCAAAGGGGTCATTTCCAAGAGAGACTTCCACAAAGCCATGGAGAGCCATAAGCACTACACCCAGTCAGAGACTGAGTTTCTGCTGTCCTGTGCAGAGACGGATGAAAATGAGACACTGGACTATGAAGAGTTTGTCAAAAGGTTTCATGAACCTGCTAAGGACATTGGCTTCAATGTTGCTGTCCTGTTGACCAACCTCTCAGAGCACATGCCCAATGATACGAGACTGCAGACCTTCTTGGAGTTAGCAGAGAGTGTCCTCAACTACTTCCAACCGTTCCTGGGTCGCATTGAGATCATGGGCAGTGCCAAGCGTATCGAGAGGGTCTATTTTGAGATCAGTGAGTCCAGCCGAACCCAGTGGGAGAAGCCACAGGTCAAGGAGTCCAAAAGGCAGTTTATATTTGATGTGGTCAATGAGGGTGGGGAGAAGGAGAAGATGGAACTGTTTGTGAACTTCTGTGAGGACACCATCTTTGAGATGCAGCTGGCAGCTCAGATCTCAGAGTCTGATCTAAATGAGAGGTCAGCAAATAAAGAAGAGAGTGAGAAGGAGAGGCCTGAAGAGCAGGGCCCACGGATGGGCTTCTTCTCCCTCCTCACCATCCAGTCAGCCCTGTTGGCTCTTAGGTACAATGTCCTAACCCTCGTTAGGATGCTCAGCCTGAAGAGCCTAAAGAAGCAGATGAAGAGAATGAAAAAGATGACAGTGAAGGACATGGTCACAGCCTTCTTCTCGTCCTACTGGAGTGTGTTCGTGACCCTCTTACACTTCGTGGCCAGTGTCTGCAGGGGCTTTTTTCGCATTGTTTCCAGCCTGCTGCTTGGGGGGAGCCTGGTGGAAGGCGCTAAGAAAATCAAAGTGGCAGAGCTTTTAGCCAACATGCCAGACCCCACTCAGGATGAGGTGCGAGGAGATGAAGAGGAGGGAGAGAGGAAGCCGTTAGAGTCAGCTCTGCCCTCTGAAGACCTGACGGACTTAAAGGAACTGACGGAGGAAAGTGACCTTCTTTCAGACATATTTGGCTTGGATCTGAAGAGGGAAGGAGGGCAGTACAAACTAATTCCTCACAATCCAAATGCCGGCCTCAGTGACCTTATGACCAACCCCATCCCTGTCCCTGAGGTACAAGAAAAGTTACAGGTACTTCACTTGAAGTTATCGTTATTAATGCCATGAAGCACTCCACCCAACCCCCCACCCCCGCTTGGCCCATGCATGTGCTCTGGCTCTCTCTGGCTCATATGCACATGCTCTTTCTTACTTGCTTTGTCTCTCTCTCTGTCTGTGTTTTCTTCCCTCCCCCTCCCTCCTCCTACCCTCTCCTTCCTCCCCCACTTGAGGATACATGCTCTTTGGCTTTTCCTCACTCTTAGGCACACATCCTCTCTTGCCCTCTCTCACTCCTTTGCTCTCTCACACACTCTTTCTCTCACTTGCTCTCAACTTTAATTTCTGGGAAAAATGACCTTTGTAAGGCAAAACTAGACCTGTGAAGAATCTGTGTGATCTGTTATGAGAAACTGTTAATTTGTATGCTTTGTGGGCAATGAGATCCTGCTGTGACGGTCAGCTGGACCATCTTTCCATACCCAAATCTTTATGCCTATTTTCCAAGTATCTGAGAACACTGAGGGAATGAGAAGTTCAAAGCTAAAAGGTTTGCCAGTGGGTGGAGTTGTGCTGATATATTTCGAAGGCCAGTACTTAGATGATGATACTAAGCAATAAAACTTAAATTGACCTTGAAAGAGAAAGAGGATTTGAGCAGGTAGATAAGATAAAGCAGGTTGTTTCTGAAATGAGAAAAGCCACTGGAAAGGAGCCTAGAGAGTTTTTAATCCACTGCTTTTGGAGACGACAGTGTGCATAAAAAGTGAGGGTTGGAAGGGGACATGGAACTTCTATCTCAGTGTAAGCACAAAAATCTCCCGTGTGGGTTATGAGGTGGCAGGTGGCTGCACAGCTCCCCAAGGGCACTCAGGTGACATATAATCCTGCTTAGAGAACTGAGAAAGTCTCTGTCACCATAGTGCTTGCTTTTGTCTTGGTTACTTTTTTGTCCAGTTGATCCAAGCTAGAGTCATTTGAGAAGAGGAACTCTCAATGGAGAACTACCTTCCCTAACACTGGCTTTTAGGCAAGAATGTCAGGTATTTTCTTGACTAATGATTGATGTGGGAGGGTCCAGGTCTCTGTGGGCAGTACCACATCTGGATCTGGGTTGATAGTCTTGGGCTGTGTAAGAAAGCAGGCTGAGAAAACCATGACGAAGAAGCCAGGTAGCAGCATTCCGCCATGGCTTCTGCTTCAGTTCCTGCCTGACTTCCCTTAGTGATGGACTGTAAACCCTTTCCTCCCCAAGATGCTTTTGATTATAGTGTTTTTTATCACAATAGAAATCTAAGTATGACACTCTGTAAGCATGAGGCCTAGAGTTCAATCCAAGGCACCCACATCTTTGAAAGAAATGGCCAGTGTAGTAGTGCAGGCTCATAATCCCAGCTCAGGAGAGGCAAAGACAGGCTGGTCCCTGGAGCTCACTAGCTAGCCAGGCTAGCCTGATTGAAGAATCTCTTACCAAAGAAGTCCTGTCTCCAAAACAAAACAAAACAAACCAGGTGTATGGCCTAGGAGGAGTGGTGGCTTAGGTTGCCCTCTGATCTCCACATGCATGGCCACACATGCACACACACCCACCTGCAGACACAAGTGTAGGTGGACTTTTCTTTACCCGCCAGTTCCCAAATAACCCACAAGGAAACTTAATATTGATAAAAATGCTCGGCTGATAGCTCAGGCACCCATACACATATACCTACAAAAATAATAATCCTGTTTTTCTGTTCCCTATTGACATGTTCAAGGAGCAGAAGGCAAAAGAAGAGAAGGAAGAAAAAGAAGAAACCAAGTCTGAACCTGAGAAGGCTGAGTATGTACTGCCACAGGCTTTCCTCCATGTCCCTGAACCTCTTGGCTTGGCCCCTGCTCTTTGGGAGCTGGGATAGAGACTCTTGCCCTGCAAAGGCATCACATGATCCAGTCTCACATCTATGTGGAAACCAGAACCTTACTCTATGCAGGGCCACCTGGATTCTCCCCAACCAGATTCTCCCTCCTCTTTCCATGGGCAGTCCCTGTGTGTGCTTCTCCCTTATTGGAAGAGACCGCAATGTCTCTCTGAAAGGACTATGGATAAAGCTTACGTGTGAATGTTTGTCCTTTTAAAAATGGGAAGAAACCAATGTGGCAAATTCAGCAGCTTAGTGTGTTCTGGAGTGGTATTCCTCTGAGCATTGTCTGAGGCCGCGTGCTTAGAAATCTCCTAGACATGGGTAAAAATTGAGGATTCCGTGCTAGAGAGGTAGCTTAGATAATAAAGTGTTTGCTGCAGAAGCATGAAGACCTGAGTTCAATCCCCAGAGCCCACAGAAAATCCCTGGTGTGAGGTGCAGATTTGTAATTCACTGGGGAGCCAAGTTAGCCTAATTAGAGAGCTCCAGGCCAGGAAGAGACTTTTACCAAAAAATACTGGGTGGATGGCTCCTGAAGAACGACAGCTGAGGTTACCTTGTGGCCTGTAAGAAAACATGTCACATGCACCCACCTACTCAGAAACACACAGTACAGATTCCTGGGTCATACCCCACCTGCTTACTCATACACAGACACACACAGACACACACACACACACACACACACACACACACACACACCCCTCCCCTGTTCTGGAACGGGCCTAGCAGTCTTCATCTTCATGGACACAGCAGGTGTTGTGGAGCCCTATTATAGATGCAGAGGTAGGTAATGAAGAGTACAGCATACAGCAGGGGAAATACCAAACTCCTTCTCCATAACAGCTTTACATCAATAATGTGGAAAACTCTTATCTTGCCCCAAGTTTCTGTAATCTTACAAGCTCATCTAGAAAAAGCTAAGAAAAGTTAAAGTCTTAGGTCCCTGTCTCACTACCCTTCTCCCAGAGCAGCCGCTTTCCCACATTATTTTTCTATTTCATTAGCCTGTTTTCATTGTCTTAGTTCTTGGATCTGTTGTAAATGTGACGAGATAAATGACATTTAGAATAGAAAAGGTGGCACTTGTGACGGGGTACAGTAGGCATGCAGGTCTTACCTGATATGAAGTGTAGCGTTGGCTAGACTTAGTATGAGCATGATGTAGCATCTATGCCCTTACAAGAAGGATTCTTACTTCACACTTAAAGCATTTTTTATATAGACTTCTAATTCTGGGACCAGAGAGATGGTTCAGCAGGTGAATGTGCTTGTTGCCAAGTCTGGTGACCTGAGTTTGATCCCCAGGAGCCACATTATGGAAGAAGGTAACTAACATCCTCAACTTGGCCTCTGCCCCCACACATTTGCAAGAACACACACAACTTAAATAAATAGCTCTAATTCTTTTTTTGGGGGGGGGTTTCAAGACAGGGTTTCTTTGTATAGCTTTGCATCTTTTCCTGGAACTTGCTTTGTAGACCAGGCTGCCCTCAAACTCACAGAGATCTGCCTGCCTCTGCCTCCCGAGTGCTGGGATTAAAGGTGTGCACCAACACCTCCCGGCTATAACTCTAATTCTTAAAAAGTATTAAACTTCTAGTCATAATTCCATTGTTATCTAGAATTAATATAACAATGTAATTATATTGATATTAAAATTAATATATTTCCCTTAATAGAATTAGGTAAGTGTGATTATCTGTATCAGTGTATTGGCATATTAGTATCCTTTATATGTGAGAATAACCACCTGCACAGGACTTTGATTTTAGGTGTCAATGGCTAGAGACTGTTAAAAATTGAATTATTCATCAGTAAGATGGCTCAGCTGGTAAAGGCTCTTGCTGTCAAGCCTGAGGACTTGAGTTTGATCCCCCGAATTTACATGCGAGGAGGTTAGAACTAAGTTCTACAAGTTTTCCTCTGATCTTCACTAGTGCTGTGCCCTCCCAACCCCACAAAACAATCACCTCTCAGCCTTTGGGCTGAGGCCAAGTATAATTAAATATACAATTAAATTAAATATGATTTTAATAATCAAAATTTAAAAGCAAGGTATGTTGCTAGGCCTGGTAGTGCAGTACTGATATCATGGCTACTTGGGAGGCTAGGGCAGGAAGACTGCAAGTTCAAGACTGGCTTGAATTATACAGAGGAAGTTCGAGGCCAGCCTAGGCAACTTAGTGAGACCCTGACTCCAATTAAATAGTGAAAAGGAGGCCTGGGGATGTAACTTCATGGTGGATTGCTTGCCTGCTATGCACAAGGCCTTAGCTTTGGGCCACAAAACTATATTTTAAAAGTAAGATGTGTTGAAAGGGGGGCCAAGAAATGTCTTTGTTGTTGTACCATTTTGTAACCAAATATTTAATTGTACAGGTAAAGAGAATCTGCTAAGAAAAGGATACAACAAGTTTTCCAGCCTGAAAAATGTCCCTTTGATTTAAATTCCACAGAATCACTCAACTGTGGGAAGGGCAGGAAATTCTTTTCCTCAGTCTAAAATCTGGAATACTATGATTCATTGGAGCAGAGATTAGTTTAGGAGCTAGAGGAGATAGCTCAGTTCATAAAGCTCTTGCTACATGAGTACATGAGTGTGGTGATATTTTCTTTGTGCACCTTAATAAAGTTTATCTGAGTATCAGAGGAAAAGGCCAGCCACTATAGTAAACATAGAGGTCAGGCAATGGTAGCACATGCCTTTAATCCTATCACTTGGGAGGCAGAGATCCATCTGGATCTCTGTGAGTTCAAGGCCACACTGGGAACAGAGCCAGGCATGGTGGCACACACCTTTAATCCCAGCACTTGAGATCTCATGTCTTTACTTGGGAAGGACACATGCCTTTAATCCCAGGAAGTGATGGCAGGAAGCAGAAAGGTATATAAGGCGTGAGGACCAGGAACTAGAGGCTTTTTAGAGGCAGTTCAACTGAGACCCTCAGGGGTGAGGACTCATGGAAACAGGATCAGCTGAGGAGTTGGTGAGGTGAGGTTGGCTGTGGCTTGTTCTATTTCTCTGATATCTCAGTTTTCACCTTAATATCTGGCTCTGGGATGTTTTTATTAATAAGACCGTTTAGCAATTTGTCTTACACATGAGCCTGAGTTTGATCCCAAAAGCCCACATAAAAGACTGTGTAATGCCCTGCCCTTGTAATCCCAGCACTAGGGAGGTAGAGACAGTCAAATCCCTGGGACTTGCTGGTTAGCCAGCCTAGGCTAATAGGTGAACCAGTCCAAGAGTCTGTCACACAAAATGAGGTGGATAATGCCCAAGGAAGAAGGATGCTCAAGGTTGTTTTCTGGCTTCTACATTTATACACACACACACACACACACACACACACACATGCACATGCTTACACATGAACACACACACACACACACACACACACACACACACACACACACACACACACATATATATATATATATATATATATATATATATATATATACAGAACTTAGTTTCTAAGCAGATATTGTGATTTATTTGTTTACTTTGTATTTTGCAGAGCACCTGCTTGGCTCTTCGCCTTCTAGACAACTTATGCTTTCTTTGTTTTCACAGGGGGGAAGATGGAGAAAAAGAAGAAAAAGCTAAAGATGATAAAGGCAAACAGAAGTTGAGGCAGCTTCACACACATCGATATGGGGAACCTGAGGTGCCAGAGTCGGCATTCTGGAAGAAAATCATAGCCTATCAGCAGAAGCTGCTGGTGAGACTTTGGGGATGACTTTTAGGACTGAGTGATTGTCCCTGGCTATGTGCAACAGTTGGTCCCAAAAAACCCTTCTACCACCCACATCTGAGAATAAAATCCCTCGTATAAAAATGATCGAGTGTTTGTATGTAAACAGCACATGTCCTTCTGTGTATTTTGACCTATCTAGATTATTTACAGTCTCTAATGCAATGTGACTGTTATGTAAATGTTTGTTATAGTGTATTATTTAGGGAATAGTGGCACGAAAAATGTCTATATCTATATAGGACAGAAATTGTTATCCAATTTTTTTTTCTTTGCAATTGGTTTGATTTATGAAGACAGGGTCTTCAGAACCAGGGGCTAAGCAGATATTTTATCTACTTACTTTAGTGCATTTGAATTTTTTAAATGGTTTGTTTATCTTTATGTGTACATATAAGTGTCTGCAGGTATCTATGTGTACCCTGTGTATACAGTGCCTGAGGGGCCAGAACAGGGCATCTGATACCTGGAGTTACAGACAGCTGTGTGCTACCTTGTAGGTGTTGGACACCAAACCCAGGTCCTCTGCAAGAGCAGTCAGTGCTCTTAATTGTTAAGTCATCTCTACAGCCCAGTGTATTTGTTTTTTAGGGTACATGCCTTTTTCAAAGTCACTGTTTCTTCTTCATAATTTATGCTGCCAGACACCCCATGACCTCTACACACCTTCATGTGGTCTGACATCCCCAAAGCCACTATAAATGTTCACATTGTCTTGACATCCTTTGACTAAATAACAGACGTCATGGTAGGTCTTCCCACAAATACTTTAGAACCCATTAGGTATATTTTCAAGGCCCTCTTACACAGCCTCTTGGGTTCTGCCCCAAAACCAAATGAGTATCATCCCACCTTTTACTAAAAAGAAATATGTATAGACATATAAGTAAAATATAAATATATTTTTATAAATGTAAACTTAATGAGTGAGCTTTTTGGTGATGACAATTCAAAATTATCCTTTACAGACAAGTAAAAGACAGTGAAGAAATGGAGAGAAGGAAGATAGTTTTTTCATAGGGTTTTATAGAAGTATTCCCCAAGTCTTGTATTTTTTCTGTAGTGTTTGTGACAGAGTCCACTGAACATAAAGGTTCTTGAGATAACTCTGTGTAATTGTTAATTTGATATGCATCAGTGGTTGCCATGGCGGCAGCAGGCTGGGTAGATGCTGTAGTGCCCTCTAACAGCCTGTGAGTCCTGAAGAGCCTAGCTCTCTGCAGTTGGATAAGGAAAGAAACTGAGCTTGTCCGTCCAACTCTGCTCAGGGTTCCTATGCTCCTTGTCTCTGTGTAACTTTTCCACTTTCCTCCTTCTCTTGGTGGCTTTGGCATATGCTTACCAGTTGGCACACATAAGACCAGTCATGGCTATGGTGCCCTCCACAGATCCCTGTCCTCTGTGTCTTTATGACTGTCTCCATCCAACAGTCACAGTTAGATAACTCAGTCTCTGTGACCTGCTGTTTTCCTTTCCAGGAGGGACAGTATAGCTGGCCCAGCCTCAGTGTGTTATTCAGTCTTAGTGTGACTAGGTGTGGCAGTGAAGCCAGATCCATTGTAGGGTAAAGACCCCAACAGAGAGAAGCATGTTCATGGAGAGGTTAATGAGAGGCATTGTTGCTATGGTTAGGCTTTATCCCTCTAAAGCTCATTTCATGTTATAACAAATAGTTGCTTTCAGTGTGGCCTCTTCCCTTACATCCGCTTGTCTGAGATTGTTTTGGTTTCTCCTGAATCAATGTACCATATCAAACACTCACCTAGTTGCTCATATTTGAGTCCTTTCTCTTTTACCTCTAACACAATACAGTAATAACAACAACAACAACAACAACAAGCCAAAATTCAGCCCCAGCTCTTCCTTCAAAGTACCTCAATGGCCTACCCAGTTCTTTCCTTGTCCACAGTTGCCATGGAGACCAGCCCACTGCCAACATCATTTCTTCTTGCATATTCATGCTTACTAAGCAGTCACTGTTGCTTCTACTGTCTCCACAGAGGAATTTCTAAGTCATCATCTAGGTGCATCCTGTCCTCTTTAGTTCTCCACCAGCATCTCAACCATTAGAATAAAATATCAGCTTTAACAGTGACAACATATGAAGTACCATATATAATTACTAATAGCATATTAAAATGAGTAACTGAATTTTTTCATATTTTCTCATAGCAAATGTAGGAAGCTGGTTTTGTTGTTATGCTCACATTACAGAAGAGACAAGTTGTGTTCCTGGAAAAATTAGGTCATTCATTCAAATCCAGGAAATATTGGGACAGATATCCCTGCAATGTAGTCCTAGAGGTTCAGAGGTCATTGAATCAGTTTACTGTAAGAGACAACTGAAATATTCAACAGAAGCCTTCAGAACTCAGCCCCTGTAGCATGAATCTTAAAAGTTCTTATTAATAAAATCAAACCTGAAGCCAGTTATTGGGGTGAACACTGGATGATCAGAGAGACAGAACAAGCCACAGCTATCTCACCTTGCCAGTTCCTCAGCTGGTCCTGTTTCCTCAGACTGGAAGCTTCTGTGTCCTTATCTCAATGGCTGTCAGCTGAACTGCTGCTAGAAGCCTGGATGCTTAACCAGCCAAACGCTTAACCAGGCAAATGCTGCTAGTTTCTGGTCCTCACGCCTTATAAACCTTTCTGCTTTCTACCACCACTCCCTGGGATTAAAGGCTGCTTTCTGGGATTAAAGGCGTGAGTCACCATGCTTGACTGTTTCCAATGCGGCCTTGAACTCACAGAGATCCAGAGGGATTTCTGTCTCTGGAATGCTAGGATTAAAGGTGTGAGTGCCACCATTTTCTAGCCTCTGTATCTAGTGGCTGTCTGTTCTCTGACCCCAGATAAGTTTATTAAGGTACACAATATTTTGGGGAACACAATACCACCACAAGCCCCTGTTCACCTGCCAGAGTCCACTTCTTCCCTCTCCTTGCTTCTCTCTAGGGCTCAAGCACATTCACACACACACACACACACACACACACACACACACACACACACACACACACACACACACTATTACCCTTTTTAAGAATATTTTAAATATTTTCTGTTTGCCGGTGTGTACATATGTATACCACTTGCATGTTGTGCCTGTGGAGGCCAGAAGAGGACATCAGATTTTTCCCATAACTGGAGTTACAGATAGTCGTGAATTTTGTATGTGGGTGCTAGAAACTGAAGCCAGATCCTCTGCAAGAACAGTAAATGCTCTTAACCCTCTCTCCAGCCCCACAGCATTACTCTTAATTCAGGGCCCAGTCTTCACTATCCATGTCTCAAATACACCTTCCTCCTATGGCTCAGTTAGCTCCTTTGCTACCCCTGGGCCAGTGCTCAAGCTCACCTCCTAAGATAGCCTTTCCAAGCCACCTATCCAAACTTCTACCGATTCCCTAAGCCCTCACCTATGTATCAATATGTCACTTGGAGTTCTTGAATGATACTTTGTATCTGAGGGTGTGGTTATTATTAGCTGTCTCCTCCTTGGTGGTAGAAACTTTGGCCTTTGCTGTATGTCCCTAATACCAAGGACACAACAGGCTCCCAATCTGTGGTTTAGAGTAAATGAATGGATCTTTGTTTAAAATGTTTGCAAATTTCTGATCTCTTACTGGCTGGCCTGTTCTTAACCCTTTCCCCCTTCAGAACTATTTTGCTCGCAACTTTTACAACATGAGGATGCTGGCCTTGTTTGTTGCCTTCGCTATCAATTTCATCCTGCTCTTCTACAAGGTATGTACGTGTGTCCCTGGGGTTAAAGACCATTCTAAAAGTCCAAAGTGACTGATACCAATGGATAGATTCCCCTGTGAGCTGCAAGGGAGCACATTTATACCAGTTCTAAAATGTACCTTAACAAAAGAGAGACCAAAGTCCAGTCCCACCACAGATGCTCAGGAAGGCAGGGTGCATGCACTTCTGGAATAATAGGAGGGGCCTCAGCTAGCTGTGACTGAAGAGGGCTGGGTGTTATAGAGGGTTCACCACCAATGTTCCTTGGATGATTCAGCTGAATTTCTTACTTGTTATGATGTCTGGATGTGACACAACCTCCCTCACATGACATTATTTGGATAACTGAGAAGAAAAGTATCTAGTGTTTTCCTGAGGATTGGAATCCTTGTAACTTTGGTTGGATTAGCATGAACTGAAAAATACCAGCATTTATTTTGTGTGTGTGTGCATGCAAGAGTGTCATGGTATGCATGTGGAGGTCAAAGATAACCTTGCGAGAGTCTGTTCTCTCCTTCCATCCTGTCATTCCTGGAGATTGGACTCAGGCCATCAAACTTGGCAGCAAGCGCTTTACCCTACTGAGCCATCTCTCAGTCCCCCAGCATGAATTTTAGAAGTGTACCTGTTACTTGTATTTACTGTTGGAAGAGATGTCTCTTTATTCTTTCCTGTTAGTCTTTCCATGATACCGTCATGCACTGACTTCGAATTCGACTGCGTTTCTATTTCCTTCTTTTGTGGTCATGTGACACACAGTGCACTGACTGTATTTTAAATGGTTTGAATCAGGTCTCCACTTCTTCTGTGGTTGAAGGAAAGGAGCTGCCTGCCCGAAGTTCCAGCGACACTGCCAAAGTGACCACCAGCCTGGACAGTAACCCACACAGAATCATTGCAGTGCACTATGTCCTTGAGGAGAGCAGTGGTTACATGGAACCCACCCTGCGCATCTTAGCCATCTTGCACACTGTCATCTCTTTCTTTTGCATCATTGGATACTACTGCTTGAAAGTAAGTCCCCAAGTACCTGTGCATTTAGAATGTCTGTTTGTAGATGGGATTCCTGGGGAGGCGAGTGCTGAGATGGAATCTGTGGTGTTTATTTGAGATGCTCTAAGGCTCTGCACCTCTGAGTCTGGAGAAAGAAGCAGGTTGAGGTAGAGGGAAATGATTGTCTAAGGGCAGAAGAGCAAACTGTGGTCATAGGCTTCTATCTCTGAAGCTAGGACTGGAGGGGCTTGATCTTTCTAAGTTTCCATCAATCAGCCATTGATTGCAAGTATGTTTTTGCTTATTGGCAGTCATTCATATAGTCAACATTTTTACTCACAACTTGACCATACAGAAGTGAAGCCCATTGCCCACAGTCTCTCACAGTTAAGTAGCTGTGAGGCCTGACTGTTCTGTTGTTGGATATGTATCTCTTACCATCCATGACAGAAGACTCACAGTTCCTACTATTTCATCCAGAAAATAAGTTGTGTTTATCCCCATGTCCCTGCTAGGGGTAACAGTAAGCATTGGTGAATAGAAATCAATAGGGTAACATAGTCTCTCTGGGTGCTTGGGGATGTCTTTGCCTGTGCAAGTATGTTTATTTTTGTCTTTATTTCACTGCACTTTGCCTCTGGCTATGAAGCCTATAAGATATTTGGAAAGCTAGGGCTTGGAATAAAAGACTAGAGTGTGAGATGTTCCTGTAGGAATTTTTTTCTACCTCTTGTCCCGCTTTTCTCATGGGGGTAAGCATTCCTGTATACTTCCTCAGTGTCTGCACCTGCCATCTGTGCTTGCACAGATTCTGCCCGTGTGAAAGGGGAATCTTCAGCAGATGACAAAGGCATTGTTATACTCGCCGCCAAGATTTTTGCCAATGTTGAAACTTGAATCTGCCTCTATATAATATAAGCATGTTGTGTACAGAGTTATTAAAGACATTGAAAAACATACTTTCATGGACATTAGTAAAATCACCAAGATTTTTTTCCACATCTGTTCGTATTGATGCATTAAAGTAATATGTATTTAAATATATATTGAATATTTTGTAATCACCTGTCTTTCTTTAGTATTTAGGATGCTTTCCTTAGTCCAGTTATGTATTAACCCTTGTGTCTTTAAAACATATGCCTATATATGCTGTTTTCCCAAAACCTTCTAGATACTTCTTTCTGCCTGATTGTAGTTGATTCATTTTCACTCAATTTTTTTCCTTCCTGCAAGTAAGTGGAGAAATAGTTCTTCCTAAAAGCTGGTTTGTAAAGATAGTGACTGTGAGAGACGCCAGTCCAGCTAAACGAATGTTGACATGTTTACTCCCATCTGCAGGTCCCGTTGGTTATTTTTAAGCGAGAGAAGGAAGTGGCACGAAAATTGGAGTTTGATGGGCTTTACATTACAGAGCAGCCATCAGAAGACGATATTAAAGGCCAGTGGGACAGACTGGTGATCAACACACAGTGAGTGGGGGATTCTGAGAGGCATTTCTGGGTGCAGGAATTTCAAGATGTTAAAATAATTTCTCTGCTAGAGTTTCTGAAGATTTGTTAAAAGTTTAGTCCAAGTGAATAACAGTTATATATTCAGCCAAGAAAATCAAAAGACTAAAAGCCATCCAAAGCTAATGGATGCCACAATTTCTGCCCTGTGCTCTGAGTCTCTTAATCGAAAAGCGCTTTGAGGCCATTTGCACAGTGCAGATGGGAAGGCACAGGCATTAGCCAGGGCTCAGGGAGGTGTGCAGCACCAGGTCACAACCCACAATGCAGAGGCGGCTCATCCAAATGCAGGGGAAGCAGAAATTATTCATTAAGGAAAGGGCTGTAGCGTTGAAGGCAAAAATACTGCATTCACATTGCTAATGTGTCTGAACATCCAGAAGACACTACCAGCCAGCCTCACAGTAACCTAGCAAATTTTACAATGTGATGGCACTTGTAAGAGGAGGAAAAAAACCACTTTAAAAAAATGATCCAGTAATCATTTAGCCTGTGGGGTCAAGATAAAAACAGACAAACCAACCAACCAGCTACTATATCTCATGTAAGTCTATTCCAACTTATAACTTCCACAAAGACAATTAATGATGGTATATTTTTGAGGATTATGCATCATAAGAGTCAGATATTATATTATGGTTGAGTCTGTTTATTCTTTTTCTTTTTCTTTTTTTTTTTTTTTTTTTGTGTGTGTGTGTGTGTGTGTGTGTGTGTGTGTGTGTGTGTGTGTGTGTGGTGAGTAGGATCGACTCCAAGGCCTTGACCTTCCTCTGCCAGCGCTCTACTGCTGAGCCATGTCTCCAGTACTGGAATTGCTGATTCTTAAACGTTATTTCTAGTAGGTTTTGAGTTCTCCACTGGGGAATGTGACTCTAACTTTATATCAAAACAGTGACAGGCTTCTACTAGTTTGTTATTTGTTGTAGTGGGAGGACTTAAACTCAGGGCCTTAAACATGCTAGACTAGTCCTTTACCTCTCAGCCACCACCAAAGCCACAGTTTCTAGACATTCTGACTTTTAAAATAACTGACAAGAAACATATATATATATATATATATATATATATATATATATAAAACACTCTTACAAACAAATGATAAATATAATATGCAACTTGTGAATAAATATGATTATATTAAAATATTATCCACATTATTTTAATGTGATTTATTTATTGGTATGTTTACATGCTATTATTTAAAAGAGATTTAATACACTTATGATATAGAAAAATTATGAACAGAGAGGTTATGTGACTCATTGTACTTCTAAGTAGATGGCAGAATAGCTTCATGAATATTATTTTCAGTATTTTGCTTATTTCAAATTATATGTTATTAAACATTTAAAAAGTACTACTCCTCTTACTTCTCTGCTTTTGTGTCTTTTAGGTCATTTCCCAATAACTACTGGGATAAATTTGTTAAAAGAAAGGTAATGTTTCTGCGGGGGAATAAATTCCCAGTGTTTTTCTTAAAGTGAGCTTCAGTGACTGTGATGTGATTTGGATGGAGAGTGGGATGTGAGGTGTGTTCTGGTTGCCTGCTGTTGTTATTTCATAGTGGCGAGAGAATCAAATAGGCATCTTCAGAAGAGCATCTAAGACATTCATACTCGGTTGTGCTAAATAACAGACCTCGCTTCATTTACCCATCATGCCTTAGGGAACAGTGAAGTGTGCACAGTGACAAGAACCAGTAGGAACTTGCTTTGGTATTGTTTGGTTTGCCCTAGTCAGCTGCAGGCTGTTCTTCTTTCTATAACTTTAAAGACTTTAACAAAGAAATCTGGCTCTAATTGTGAGGGTGGGTGGGAGAGAGGACACTAGCATTGCTTCAGCCGTGCCCCTGGCTGCTGCTGAGCTCTGCTGTTGAGAACCTCTGTTTAGAGGCTTGGGTTATCCCTGTCCTCCTTGCCACACAGGATCTGTGCATGGCTCTTCATGGTTTAGTTGAAATATTGTATGTAACAGTGTTTGTGTGCTGAGGGCTGCTATTTGGGAAATACTCTTTTTTATTTTCTTGCTTTTTTTTTTTTTAAATGGAGTTTTGAGGCAAAGTTTCAAACTGTAGCCCATGCTAGCCTGGAACGGACCAAGTAGCCCATGTTGGCTTCAAACTCACTGCAATCTTCTTCCTTCAGCTTCCCAGGCATGAGCCACTGCTCCCAGCTCCTTGCTGATTCTTTGAGCTGCTCAGTTCACACATTGTTTCATGGTGAATGCCAGCTTGGTGTGGCACTGACACAGAGGCACCTGTTGTGTGAAGAGATCATTTGTGTCTTTATCAAGTCAGTGCTATTCCAATGGTGGTTGTCAAGGAGACACTCAAAGTTTTTTTTACCACCTCATGCAGAGATGGAGCATACACTAAGAACTTAAATGTAATTCAACTGTATCACTAAGCACAGTGTGAGTGTGTGTGTGTGTATATGTGCGTGCGTGTGTGTGTGTGTGTGTGTGTGTGTGTGTGTGTGTGTGTGTATGTGTACATGCGTGCATGCGTGCATGCATGTGCATGTCCATACTTCCTGGTGGAAAGAATCTGCATTTGCTGATTGTTATGTGTACCTTTGTGCATTTTTTGTTGCATTGTGAACTGGCACTTTGAGTTTATTACACTAATGCATATATATGCATATCTAAATTAGGGCAAAGTTTTAAAAGACTTTTAAAATAATTTTAAATGGACATTTTGAATATTTTATGTCTATGAAGTTTTTAGTGGAATAAAGAGGGTGTTTCTAAAATATTAAACCAAAAGTATCTCTAGAGATAACTATATATCTATGCCATAGAAATAGCAAGATCAGGACTAGGGAGATGACACAGTTGGCAGATGTTCGCTGTGTGATGTGAGGACCTGCGTTTGCATCCCTAGCCCCCACACAAGCTGGCACAGGGCATACTTGTGATCTAAGCACCAGGGAGACGTAGAGCAGAGGGTCTGGAGGACTCCCTGGTCAGCTGGCATCGCTGAAATGGTGAGTTCCAGGTTCAGTGAGAGATCCTGTTTCAAATAATGAGCTGGAGAGGGATTAAGGAAGCCACCTGACTCTGATCTCTGTCCTCTACATATACTCATAGATGTGCATCCTCACAGGTGTGCAAACACAGACACAGACACAGACACACATGTTAATAAGAAAGTAGGGAAGGAGAGAAAGGGAGAGAAACCAACTCACTCCTGGCTTCTCTACTGCAGTACCGGCTGTGTCTTTTAGGGAGAAGAGCGAGACTGTTCCCTGTAGAAATTCCATCCAGGCCAACACATGCCATCTTCAGCACTGAGAAAATCCACTCAGCAGATTGGTTTAGTTAGCTTGAAAATTCTGTGCTGTGGTCATTTTAACTACCGCTTTTCTTCTGTGCTTTCTTTACTTAACCTGTTTTGTGCATTTGGAGAGACCTGTTTTATTTCTTTAAAACCACTTTGTCTGGGTTCCCTCTGTCTGTTCTTTTCTTCCTCCCCATGTCTTCTCTCTTGTCCCACTTGGTCTCCTGGGCACCTCCTCCTTTGCTTGCTTTCTCCCTTCCCCTCTTCCTGTTGTTAATGATCTATTCTGCTTTTCCTGCGTTCCCTATTCCTTCCATTTTGGCTATTCTATAGAACCATTAAACAATGGGTACTTGAACTTAAGGGTGAGAGCAGCACATCACAGAGTTGGACCTGCTGGCATTTAGGCTGAGCTGCCAGCCATATCCAAGCACCAAGCTTTGTTCATCCTTCCCTTATGCGTGTGTGTGTGTGTGTGTGTGTGTGTGTGTGTGTGTGTGTGTGTGTACATGCTTATGTGTGTTTGGGTACACAGGTGTATGGGGGCGAATATGTGCACAGGTGTGTGGATGGGTGTAGAAACCTACCTCAGCCTTGGCTATTGTTCCTCAGGAACTGTCCATCTTGTTTTGAGACATGGTCTCTCCTTGGGTCCTGAGACTCACCGGTTAGACTAGACTGACTGCTCAGTGAGCCTCATGGTCCCACCTGTATCGCCTTCCCGGTGCTGTAATTACAGGCACATGCTACCACACTTGGCCTTTTACATGGCACTTCACTGACTTCCATCTCCTCAGTTTCGTAGTCTGTACAATGGGATGCTAATATTAATACACAACTGGTCCATCATGATGGTCACGTAAGACAGAGTACAAAGCTTACATATTGTGACAGTCACAAGTCATCTGACAAAATTCCTGGTAAAAGACTGAAGGTCACTTTCCTTCTGCCCCCACCATCTCACTCTTTTACTGCAGAGCAGACTTTCCCGTGCCTCCCTTACTAGAAGGAGAAATCTCAGAGATGAGTTATTCACAGTTCTATTGATTTATTTAATACATGACTCCAGAAGACGGACTGTAAACTAGATGACTAAGTTTTCTTTAAAATCTAGCAAATATATGGTAAGAAAAAAATTGATACTCTGATATACATGTGTAAGTGGTGTACTTAATAGTTAAGGCGAATAACATTCTTCTCCCTTGACCACAGGTAATGGATAAATATGGAGAGTTTTATGGGCGAGACAGAATCAGTGAGTTACTGGGCATGGATAAGGCTGCACTGGATTTCAGCGATGCGAGAGAGAAGAAGAAGCCCAAGAAAGACAGCTCCTTGTCCGCTGTGTGAGTGACACTTCTGCCCCACAGATGGGGTGGGGACAGGGGTGCATTTCTGACCTAGCTAGCTCACTGATTTCCCTTCCCTCACTTAGGAAAACTGCAAGTGCTAAAGAAGTTTGACTTTCATACTTCTGGGTTTTCTTAGTTAGGGTTTCTATCGCAGTGATGAAACATCATGACCAAAAATCAGGTTGGGGAGGAGAGGGTTTGTCTGACTTATACTTCCATAGCCCTGTTCATCATTGAGGGAAATCAGGACAGGAACCCAAACAGGACGGGAACCCAAACATGACAGGAACCTGGAGGCTGGAGCTGATGCAGAGGTCCTGAAGGGGTGCCTCATGCTTAGTGGTTTGTTTGTGACTTGCTCAGCCTACTTGTTTGCTCCCCCCGCTTCTCTCTGTCTCTCTCTCTCTGTGTCTTTCATTTTTTCATTGTGTGGATGGGTGGGGTAGGGGGTGGGGTTTTTCGAGACAGGGTTTCTCTGTGTATCCTTGGCTGTCCTGGAATTCATTATGTAGATTAGGCTGACCTCAAACTCAGAAATCCTCCTGCCTCTGCCCCCTGATTGCTGGGATTAAAGCCACGAGCTACCACCACCCAGCTTTCTTATAGAGCCTAGAACTACCAATCCAGAGATAATACCACCCACATAACTGGGTCTTCCCCATCAATCACTAAATAAGAAAATGTCCTACAGCCAGATATGAGACATTTCCTCAACTGAAGTTCCCTCCTTTCAGATAGCTTTAACTTCTGGCACGTTGACATAAAACTAGCCAGGACATGAGTATTTGGAGCTTTAGAATGAAGGGATATTTTACTATTAACTTACTACTACTACTACTATTTATTATTATTATTATTATTGAGACAGTGTCTTGCCATGTATTCCAGGCTGACCTGAAACTCATTATTATAATATCTCAGGAAGGCCTGAAACTGACTGATAGCTCCCTAGGCCTCCAACTCACCACCTTCCTGCTCTCACCTCTGGAGTGTTGTGATTTGAGGTATGAGCCACCAGATGTGGCTCCTATCAATGTTTGAAGATTCTTTCCTTGTTATTTACATACAGTGAGGGAAGAGCAACAAGAAAATCCACCATTCTTGATCGAAGTCACCTTTTCTAACCTCAGGTCCTCCTTAAAGTCAAGCACACGCAAAGCACAACATAGAACTATGTTTTAGGGGGAATCTTTTTTTGAAGGGAAGTTAAATTACATACTTTGGAAACAGAAGATGTGTAGTTCCTGTATTAAAATGTACCCAAAGTTCCTATCTTGGTGTTATAGTTCTTAAATGGCAAAGCATTAGTGTGCCAAAGCACCATGTTGCCCTATTATTTGAAAACTTACTTCAAAATGAAGTTCTGTTTAAATGGCACTCGTGTAAAATCACGCTGTTACCTTGAAAGACACAGAGGAGTTGGATTGAGTTCCCTTGAGACTGACAGTTTCCTTCCAGCTCCCTCTCAGGCACATGTGCCCACAACACAAAGGGTCAGTGGATGTGTATGACCCTGTCCTCTTAGCAGATGTGACCAGCTGGATTTCTGCAATCAAGTAAAGCACACTCATTGTTGCTAGGTGCCAGTGTACTACCCAGGCACTTCACTGTTTTAGAAGAAGCATGCAGTCACTTTCCCTTGAGAAATCAGCTTTGCTTGGTTTTTCTTGGTTCGCTTTGCAGCAACAGGTATCAAACCCAGGGCCTCGTGGATAAGCAGAGAGGCAAGTGCTGCCCTGCTGACCTGTATCCCCAGCCTGGCACACCTTATCTGTGCATTTGTGGTCTCAGTCTGTAAGAGATGAGATCATTGCTCTGAAAACTCATTTTGTCTTAGAAAAATATAGTACCTGGAATTAGAAAGATGCTTTGGTTAACTATCTCATTCATTCATCACAGGTTTTCTTTTTTTTTTTCTTTTTTTGTTTTTTCAAGACAGGGTTTCTCTGTGTAGCTTTGCGCCTTTCCTAGAACTCACTCTGTAGCCCAGGCTGGCCTCGAACTCACAGAGATCTGCCTGTCTCTGCCTCCTGAGTGCTGGGATTAAAGGCATGTGCCACCACTGCCCGGCCATCACAGGTTTTCTATGTCTTTAAAAATGATGTGAGTTTGGAGCTTGTGATATGGCTCAGTGGGTAAAGGTGCTTGCCATCCGTCCTGACACCCTGAGTTAGATCTCTCAGACCCACATGGTAGAAGAAGGAGAGAACTGACTCCTGCAAGTTGTCCTCTTAACTACATACATATTATGCTGTGTGTGTGTGTGTGCGTGTGTGTGTGTGTGCGTGTATGCATGTGTTTCTATATGTATCTGTGGCATGTGTATGCATGTGTGTGTGTGCGTGTGTATGTATGTGTGTGTGTGAGATATGTCTTCCTGTGTATGTATGTCTGTGTGTCTGTGTCCATGTCTGTGTGTGTGTGTGTGTGCGTGTGTGTGTGTGTGTGTGTGTGAGATGTGTCTTCCTGTGTATGTATGTCTGTGTGTCTGTGTCCATGTCTCTGTGTGTGTGTGTGTGTGAGTGTGTGAATGTGAGATGTGTCTGCCTGTATATGTATGTCTGTGTGTCCGTGTCCGTGTCCGTGTGTGTGTGTGTGTGTGTGTGTGTGTGTGTGTGTGTGTGTGTGTGTGTTTGGTGTATGTGTGTGGGGGCATGGAAGTGCATGTCTATAATCCCTGAATTTAGAATATGGAGACAGGAGGATCAGGAAGTTCAAGGCCAACCTGAGCTATACAAGTCCCAGGCCAGGCTGAGTTACACGAGACCCTGTGGTGTTTAGAATGTGTCACACACATAAAGAAGGACATCAAGAGTCTCAGGAGCCAAGGCCTTCAGGTCAGTCATTTGAAACAAGAAGTGGGGTGTGAAGGATTCCGAACTCCTCATGAGCATTTGCAGGTCACTGGTGACTGACAGAATTAGACAGTTTTGCTGAGTTACATATTTTATATTTCTTAGTAATATTTGTAACAACAACATTGAAACCATTTAAAAATAGGAGGAAAACCTGAGACTGTTTCTTTGTTGGATAGTGTTAAATCTGGTGATGGGGTAGTGAGATGGCTCAGCAGTAAACATACTTGCTGCCAAGCCTGGTAACCTACGTTCCATCCCCAGACTCCACTGTGGAAGAAGAGAATTTACTCTACAAGTTGTCCTCTGACCTCTACACACATGCTCTGGGACACATACACATATACGCAACACACACATGCACATGCGCAAGTATAACAATTTTTTTTAATTGGCAAAATCTTTCATTATTTTGTGTAATAAATACTTTTCAGATTGACTGCTAGCAAAGGGCCAGAAAATCTATGTTCTTATTACTTTTAAATATGGATAATAAATCTGAATGAAGGTCCAGTAGGGAATGTACAAGATTGAGGAAAAAAGATTTCCCTTTACTGAAACATTTAGAAGGTCGAGACTTAGTGGGCCTCTGTGTGCCTGCTATCTTGATGTGTTCACCCAGATTGATAACAATCCATGTAGTAGTTACTTACCAATAAACTGTTATCCTTACAAGACCCATTTATAAACAGATCTTCAATATTTACAGTATTTTTCCACCCATGCAGCTTGGTGGGCGCACATTTAAATAAGTGGTCTGCTTCTTCCCTGTAGGTAAGAAAGACTGAGTGGTCTACATTTGTGGGAGTTTTTGAGGGGAGGGCAGACAAGCTTATATCTCGAAATCCTTAAGCAACCTCTCATCCACCCACTGCTCACCTTCTTCTCTAATTTATAGGATTTTCTTGAATCAAGGCCTGTTTCCTGGGGAGCCTGAGCCTTGATTAGCCACCCCAGTTAGCCAGGGCTACTCCCTGGGGGTGGGGTCAGGTCCACACAGCATGGATGCTATAGGTTTATGGACAAAATATTGGGCCCTTCAAAAAAGAGACAATGCTTAATGACAGTGGCAGTGGACTGTCACTCATGTGTCTGATTAATGAAAAATAACCACAAAAGAAAAATTTTAGGTAAGAAACTACAATGTAAAATTCAGACACCCTGAATTTTAGAGCCTTGGTTTTGCTTGAGATCATTTCTATGGAAAGTAGTGCTGCTCTCATACAGATCATCCAGTCACTTACCTCTGTCAACTCCTTTCAGACTTAGAAAAAAATTAATGTTGAAACCTATTCCAAATATGATGGGCTGCTTATGGAAGAAGGGTTCTGTGTAATAAAAGTATGGTTCAAAGACAAAGTTTTGCCTTGAGAGAAGGAAAAATACAGGGGGCCTGTCAGGGCACAGCCTGAGAACTTGGGAATTTTAAGTAAGAGGGTTAGTTGAGCCTGTTTAAGAACAGTATTGGCAGAAAAGCTACACACTGCCACAGAAAAAGAAAAAGACAAGAGAGAAGGAAATCCTGAGCTAAAGAAGGGGACCTTCACCCTTCCAGGAAAGATAAAACTAAGACAGAAAATAACAACAACAACAACAACAAATGCCCATCTTATCAGCTTCACTTAACAAACTGCTCATTCTCAAACTTCAATTTTCAGATTTGTCTACTTAAAAACAATCATTTTTAGAAGTAATTAAAGACAGAACTCTTCTGTCTGGAGAGGCCCTTTGAGACCTGTGCCCCCTCACACTATATTGTGTCTGTTCATCTCACCTGCCAGTTAACCTGGAGCTGGGGTATAGAAAGTCTAAGTTATGTCTAACCCCCAAATCAGTGCCAAGTTCTGAAAAAAAGTGAAGTGTTTTATAGCACATGCATTTTTAAATTTTCAAAGCTCATGAGTTTTTTGTGCTCAGATTTATTCACTCAACATAGACTGATGGAGAGACATTTAATTTGTTTGATAGTACTTGGTGCCCAGGAGGTCGCAGATCAGTAGCAGAGATGGGCCCCCAGGCAGGTGCAGCATTAGCAGAAGCTAAGAGGCATGCTGGGAGTCATAATAGGATGAGGGTCTAGTCCCTTGGGGAGCAGGGGAAGGCTAAATCCTGCTTGAAGGGAAATGGAGCATGAGCTGGTGGGGTGACTGCAAGCCGAAAGAAACAGGGCTGGGACTGCAGCTCCGTGGGAAAGCGTTCACTCAGCAAGTACAAGTCCTGGGTACATGCCCCAGGACTACAAAGAGAAAACAGAAAAAGGAGACAAACTGCTCTCGTTTATAAAATTTAGTTGTAAGATAAATGTATGTGTTCATGCAAGTTTGGTTATTTGAATCAGAAACCCTTCTCCTGAAATGCAACACAAGATGGACAACAGGGCTAGGCAGGTGGCTCAATGGTAAAAGCACTTGCTGTACAAGCATGAGGACCAGAGTTCGAATCTCCAGCAGCCATGTAGAGCCAGGCATGAATGCGCATATGTGTAATCCCAGTGTTGGGAGGTGGAGGCATGTGGATTCTGGGGGCTTGCTGGCCTGTGTCTAGTCAAAATGATGAGGTTCACTAAAATACCCTGTCTTGAAGTAAGATGGGCAGTAATAGAGGAAGACAGCCAGTCAACCTCTGGCCTTCACACCAACATGCACGGAGTACACCTCATACACATGTAAACACACACATATACTATACACATACAAAAGCATACCACACACACACATACATACGTAAACTGTTGATGCTGAGATTCTAGAGAAAGAAAGGACCAAGTTCAAAGTTGTCCAAATTAAAACAAGTTGTATTTGGGTGCAACCAAGACTGGCCAGCCAGTTGTCTCTCCCTAAGTTAGGGTTTGAGAGAGCAGCCCCACAGACTCTTCAAGTCCCTCTTACAGGAGAGAGAAGGTGTTCCCAAGCTGAGAGGGTTGGTGATTATTGGTAGTTAAAAGGATACAATGAAGAGAAGAGGAACAAAGCAAGGGTATGCATCAAGTGTGGTGGGTTATGAGCAGTTTACACCAGACTAGGGACTTGCTGTGGACGACACATAGAAGCCTCAATTAGCAGGGACTTAACACAGAACAAACAGACCTCTCTTAGCTACGATTTAGCACCAAACAACCAGGAACTTCTTGTTAATTGTAAACAGAACTCTTAACCTGCAAGATACATTTTAAACTTCCTTCTTCCGTCAACCTGTGGGGTTGTTCCTGTTTTGGTTTTCATTACCTGCACATATGACTACACATTCTCATCCTCTTTCTCTATCTCGTATCTCTCTATCTTCATCTCCCTCCCTCTCTTTCTCTATATCCATCTCCCTCTCTCACCCCACCCCCACAGATATAGCAAAAATCTGTTTTTAAGGGGCTGGCAAGACAGCTCAATGGTTAAGAGCATTTGTTCTTGTAGGGAACAGGGATTGGTTCCCAGCACTCACGTGGTGAGTCACAACTGCCTAGCATTCCAGTTCCAGGGAATCTGACTCCCTCTTCTGGCCTCTCTGAGCACTGCACAAATGTGGTACACAGACACACAAGCAGGCAAAATACCCATAGACAAAATAAAAGCAAATATTTTTAAAGGTATTTTAAATGCACAATAAATTTTACTGAGTCAACTTTTGAAGCACACATGTTAATTAGCTTTGTGTAGTTTCCAGGGATAAAGGGCACATATAAAGTGAATTCAGTTATAATGCAGTAAAAAGAAAAGACTGTTTTCAAATACCAAGATGAGATGTTGAGATTGCTCAGTGAACAAGGGCAGGCAAGCCTGGCAACCTCAGTTCAATCCCCAGAACCCAAAGTAGAAGGACAGAAGTAACTTAAGTAGGTTGTCTTCTGATTTCCACACATGTGCTATCCCGTGTGTGTGTGCCTGAACACACACACACACACACACACACACACACACACACACACACACACCATACACACATACTATAAATACTATGCATAACAATAATAATACCGATGGTGAAGATAAATTTAAATTACTGCAGAAGAATGTGGTACTATTTGTTTTCTTTCCCATGATCCCCCGAGAGGTCATCGCAGAGCACTGGGGTGTGTCTCCAGAGCTGGTTTTAGCTCTTCACTTTTACCTGGGGACAAGTGGTCTCCTGAGAACTGTCCTCCTGAGCAGGTGTCCAGCTTTGCCCATGACAGGTGTAGGCCTACAGGTTCTCACAAGCCTAAGTCTATTAATGCAAATATCTACTCTTTCTTGTGTCATTCCAGATTGAACTCTATTGATGTGAAGTACCAGATGTGGAAACTCGGAGTTGTGTTCACAGACAATGTAAGCCTCCTTCACTCTCATTAGATGACTCCATGGAGTCTTGCAGATAAAGGGAGGTTATTTAAGGAAGTTACTCAGATACTAATGCAGTTAATAAACATGGCATTTGAGAGAGACACAGGCACAGACACTTTAACCAGCCTATCTTGTATATTAATATAAGAAAAACTTGAAAATTTATATGGATTTCCATTTATGTTTCAGAGGAACCATGGTAGACTGCAAAGGTTTGTAGATGCTCAAACACACGTAAATAAAATAAAAAATAATTTGTACTAGAGAGGAGATGAGTGGGAGGAGGAGGAATATTGGTAGTAAAGAAATGGGTGGGCAGATGGAGAAACAAAAGAAACAAAGTATTTATAAAAATGTCATAATGAAATGTAGTGCTTCATGTATGTTTTTTAAAACTAATACATTTTAAAAATATTTGTGCTCACTTTTCCTCCAAAATTAAGTACATTAAATCATTATGTTCTTATTCTTGATTTATCCTTATCAAAAAGCATTTTGACACCAAACATATGGCCCAAGTGTATACTTAAACATGATTGAATATACTCATCCATTACCAAAGGCTGTCTCTGCACCTCACTGTTTAATTTTAACACTGGATTTTATAGTGAAGGTTTCTTTTTCCTAGTCTTTAAAATCTGTGACAACAAGTAAATTCTCTTCCCTCCATCCCCACCCTTCCACTCAGTCATCAAAGGTACTTCTGAGAACTTCAAAACTTAGGTCATAAGTATCTTTCAGAGCCACAGACTGTTAGCATACCACCTTGCAAGTACTTCCTTGTCAAATGGTGGAAAACTTCTCAATGGGCAGAAGCTGACCAACTCCTGCTTCAGCTGCTATCTTCCACTCAGGTAGCATGTACACTCTGGCTTGGGCACACAGGGGGCATCTCCATGCCACAGTCCTTGCATAACCCTCTATTGCTCGAGTGAGTCTGACCTTAATATTTTCATTTCTGTGGAGCTTCTTGTCATCCAGAGAAACTTGGATGTGGGTTAATCCTGCAGGTGCCTTGGAGAAGTCCGTTCAGACATCTTTCTGAGACCCCTTAGGCTGTCAGCTTTATGGCTTCTGTTTGGCAGTTACTCCTCACATGTTGTCAGGTCTTCAACAGTTTAGTTGGTCTCTGAAAAGCAATGAAGGTGATAATCAGATGAAATATGAGATTGTCAGTGACATTTCTTATCATGCAAAGAGAGTAACTTTTAGTATAAATGTGAATAAAGTACCAATGCTAGGAACTGCCCATTCTCCATCTGTCACTCAGACTTAACAGGGTACCTCCATGTCAACCAGCACCACAGCCGTGACTAGTTTGTCAGTCATTTGCATCTCCTTCCTCTTGTGTTCCCCGTATGTGTCCTTTTCCCTCAGGCTTTTCATCTCTTCCTAGCCTGTGACATTACTCCTTCTTAACGTGCTATGGCAAGCGTAAACCCTTCCTGCCAAATCCTGTGTCTTTTTCAAATGCCATTTTTGTTTTCCTCACTTCAGTCCCTTGTTGCTCATGAAATCCTGTAGGACCCCAGACACTTCTTTTTTCACCTTCTTGCAATACCTTAAGATTAGAGTCAGGGCAACAGTTCTGTTCCTCTCCTGTGAGTGGATGTCATCCAGACACAGCATGTGTAGGAGAAACTAACTGCTCCAAGGAGCGGAAGCCATCGCTGGGCTTCTGGCCTGCAACTTCACTGCCCCCCCAAACATGGACATTCTCACCCTAACAGAAGTGATTATTTACATTAATTATAATTCAGGAAGCTGGAGAGAAGGCTCATCATCAGACCAGAGCATCCATTCTCTTGTAGAAGACCTGGGTTTGGTTCCCAGCTCTGACAATGGGCAGTTCAGACAACTTTCTGTAACTCCTGGGGAACTTATTTCCTCTTCTGGCTTCTGAGAGCACTGCATTGTGTGCCCATACCTACACACACACACACACACACACACACACACACACACACACACACACACACAGAGAGAGAGAGAGAGAGAGAGAGAGAGAGAGAGAGAGAGAGAGAGAGAGAGAGAGAAAGAGAATTAAAAAGTAATTTTTTGGTTATGATTCAGGAGACTTCTCCAAGCAACACCAGTTATGTAGTTTTGCAGTTAAGGTCACTACAAGTGTTAGTGAAATCAGGGAGTACTTTGCTCTTGGGCTCACTTTAATTCATGCAAAGTGCAATGCTGCCTTAATCAAACTCCTCAGGAACAATGGATTCTAACTAATAGATTAACAAGCTTAGTGTGTAGATAAATAAGGAGCAGAGGAGAAAAGGAGGAGTCAAAGTTGGAGGATTCTTGGGATGACTGTAGACAAGGGTTCCCAAACAGAGACAGTCTTGTCCCTCAATGACATCTGATGGCATTTTTATGATCATGGCTGGATATTCTTTGAAATCTAATGGATCCTGAAGTCACAGGGTAGCCCAAATAGCAAGAAATTATTGGTGTAAAATAGCACTATGCTGAGGCCAAGAGACCCTGCTGTCAGGGCATAGGATGATCATTTCTATTATTTGTGAGAAGATGAATAAGAAGAACTGATGTGGTTAAAAGAAAAAGAAATTACACTGAGCCTTTCACAACAAACTAAATAAAGGTAAAATGTGCAAAGATGGAATCCAGCTAATTCGACCTGAAGAATTAGTCTAGAAAGAAAAGGTGAGTGCAGTGGTTATCGTGGAGTGAGATGGCAGTGGCTCTTACCAGTTCTTGTGAATTCTGGTGTCTGACACATCTACCCCTGTTTGCTCCAACAGTCCTTCCTGTACCTAGCCTGGTACATGACCATGTCCGTTCTTGGACACTATAACAACTTTTTTTTTGCTGCTCACCTCCTTGACATCGCAATGGGATTCAAGACTTTGAGAACCATCCTGTCCTCAGTCACTCACAATGGCAAACAGGTAAAAGGTCATCTTTCCTATAAAGGAACTAAAAACAGCAAGAGAAGAACCTGCAAAAATAAATCCAGCCCTTAAGTGACAATATATGGCTTTAAAGACTTCTCATGGATGGATAGTCTATGTCTTTTATAAATTATGATTAGTAATTCCAAAGACCCTATAACCTGAGTTTAAGGATTGGCTTGATGGATTTGCTGTGTGATCTTGGACAAGTGAATTAATATTTGTCAATATCAAATCCTTTTTTGGTAAAGTACAACCAGTGACAATACCTTGTCAGATTCTGTGAACACTGAGAACAAATCCAGCAGATCAGAAATATCTGCATTGAGCACTGAGGAAACTAGTTCCTGTTTTGCTTATGAGACAATATTCACTCCATCTGATACTATACTGTGCCAAAAACTGTTGCAGAATCCAGATGCATTAGTTGCATTGATAATAAGAGGTGTTGCAGCTAAATTTAATAAGATAACCTACTTTTTAAATTAAATAAAATCTTAATGATACTCTATACTTGACAAGGGCATGCTGACATGGGGAACAGTTAGTCTAGGTCCAGAAAACCCACTGACATCTGATGGAACTCAGCTCTTCATGCCGGATCTCTCTATTATGGTGACTTGGTGCAAAAGTATACATTTACTTATTCATCTGTTGTTTCACGTGTCCAATTGGTGGTAAAAATTCTGTGCTAATTATCTGGATTAACAGCCCTTCTAGCCCAACATGTTATAATCAGTGTCCCTCCAACCATGGGAATCACATCTACTTTTACTGCCATTACCATAATCCTTTGTTTCCTAAGTCCAGCAAGTAGCTCCTGCACATGTCACCTAAGGTTAGGAATAAAGCTGTCCTACTCATGGCCAATCAAAGGCACCACAACAGAATCCCTGTGCACTCTGCTCACTTGCCAGTTGGTGGATTGTGACAGACAGAGCTCCCAGCACATTTCACAGCTGGAGAGATGGCACAGCAGGTTGGAGATTTACTGCTCTTGCAGAGGATCCTGGTTCAGTTCCCAGCACCCATGTTGAGTGGCTCACAACTGCCTGGAACTCCAGTCCCACGGGATCCCACACTGTTCTCTGGCTACTTCAGGCACTATACACACATGGTGCACATACCTAAAAGCAGGCACACACACACACACACACACACACACACACACACACACACACACACACATACACACACACACACACACACACACACACACACACACACACACACACAAATAAAGACTTGGCTCATAATGCAGGAGAATGTTATACAGTATCTTCTATCAGTTAGAAGATGGTCACAAAGTGAGTAATAAAGCTGCTTTCTAATATCTATCAAATCAAGCTTAGCATAAAATATTTTGATGGACTGATAAAGGAAATGTGCAAATAAGCTTCACTTGTGAGCTAAGAAGGTGGAAATAATGAGGGTATGGATCACATTGGCTTTTAGTAAGTCCCGGTGTGTCGGGAGAGTGTTTCCCTCCCACACAGCTGTCAATTACACTGGTCATATATTCTGTATCCCTAACATATGCTAAATGTCACCTTGCTTTCAGCTCGTGTTAACTGTGGGCTTATTAGCTGTTGTTGTGTACCTGTACACTGTCGTGGCATTCAATTTCTTCCGAAAATTCTATAATAAGAGCGAAGATGGTGATACACCAGACATGAAATGTGATGACATGTTGACGGTAAGCTCCTGAACTTGTAGTAAAAACTACCCCACACCTTCCATCTAAGTTAGTGTGTATTTCCGCATCCCCAGAGCAGGAGAGGAGGCACCAGGCACAGTGAAAGGTTGAGCGGCTTCTCAAACTATAGCATTTTCATTTTAGCAGCGCATAAAGGACCATTGCTGGTGACTTCCCACCTGTGTTTGTTCAGCTTAGTAATTAGTAGACTTGTGAGAAATGTAGTTAGGACTGGAAGACATGCAGTCATGTCAGCTCATTACTCATACATCCCAGGACAGCAGGTAGAATGTCCTCCTGCTCTGAAGCCTTGGCTTTGGGCTTGCCTTACTGACTTTACCTGGCATTATTAAAATCCACACAATATATCTTAACAGAACTGATACTTTCGCTTTTATACTGAGTATCTTGTCTTAAAGGTCCTGGGCAAAATTAACAGATGTTTCAGCTTTCACATTGTTGTGTGTAACTGTTGTATAACCTGCTTCTCTGATGATGGTTCTGTTTCTGGGATAAAATATCCTGGCCAAAAGCTACTTAGGGTAGAAAGAGTTTATTCTGGTTTGCAGTTCTGGAGGGATAGAGTCCATCATGACAGGGAAAATGTACAGCAGGAAGAGAAGTCATGAAGGCAGGAGCAGGAGGCCGACTGGCCACGTTTTATCCATACTCAAGAAACAGAGAATAGCAAGTTGAACTAGGCATAATGGCTTCATAGCCCTTCCCCCAGTGACATATTTCCTCCAGCAAGGCTCTGCCTTCTGAAGGTTTGTAACCTCCCTGAACAGCACCAACTGGAGACTAGGTGTTCAAACACATGAGCCTATGAGGGACATTTTATATGAAAAAAATCACAAAAATGACTCTTCTAGAACACTTAGGTTTGGGAGGGGAAACTTAAGACAAATTAACTGTTGTTGACTGGGGAGAGCAAGGCCTTTCTGTGAGCCCTTCACTGGGACACCTGCATGGTTTGGGTGTGTGTGTGAGTGTCAAGGGGGCTGATAGGATGATTCTGAAATTCTCTCAGAAAGGAAATGTCCTGGAAGAGTGACAGGAACGAGGTACTGATACTATAATGAATAACTGAAGTATTTCTGTACCTCCTTTGGAATAGAATAGAGTGACTTGGAACACATATAAATACTCACAGAAATTAAACTATGATAAAGTTGCTTTTTACAATCATAAAATGCAAAAAAATTCAATAAATGGTATTGACCCCATGTACAAGCCCCTGAGGGATGGTAGAAGTGAAGAGCAGTCTTTTGATTCAAGTCAATAACAATTAGGACAGGTTTGCATCCTTAAAATAATGACAAACCTTGAGAAAAGGATTTTCTATTAATGATATAAAACCTAGAAAGCTGTGAAAGTAAAAAAATATTATTTTTGTTACTAGTAAATATAAATCAAGTCTTATAGACAAATGATAAATTGGCCAAAATGTATTCAGCATGGTAAGGAAGAGACAATTTCCTTTACTGGCACAGTTCTTATCACACCCTTGAAAAGACAAGCCCAGGCCTGCAAGACGCTCAGTGGGGAAGGCACCTGCCTCCAAGCTTACAGCCACTCTGAGTTCAATCCCCCAGGCCTGCATGGTGGAAAGAGAGATACCTGAATGGTGTCCTCCACACCCATCCATGGCACCCCCCACATAATGTACAAATAAAAAGTAGTTTAAGTAATTTAAAAATGTTATAAGAAAGAAGACAACACACGAAGGGTCAGTTATGTGGCCAGATAATGCACAGGAGCATTAATTCCTTCAGCTCATAAGTCTGAAAGGATGCCCAACTATTACTGTAAAGAAAGAAATGTAGGCCAGAATAACAGAAAACCACAGTTCATTATTAAAAATATTAAAGCTTGCAATAACTCCGGTCAGTGGATTGATGGGGAAGCTAGCACATTCCTCTTACCGGGAATGTGAGTTTACACAACTTTAAAGAGATTATCTGCTATGTATCAAAGGCAGCTAGTTATCAGTTAGCTGCTCTTATCACGCGGCCCTGTGTGACTCTGTTCAACCTGTAGTCACCACACCTGAGATGACCTGGTTTTCACTCAATCTCCATACATGTTTCCATTGTTTCCCTTCATTTGTCTTAGGAGCACCACAGCCTCTCCTGCTTGGGCTTGTTTAGCAGTACAGGATGTGAATCCAGAAGGCAGAGAGATTTGTCTCCATTTTACTTTTGCCTTGGCACTGCCAAAATGCTCGAGAACAGCTTTAAGGTGTGAATTGTATATCATGGCCCACGGTGTCAGAGAGGCTAGCCAGTGGTGGTGATGAATGCATGGTGGAGCAGATCAGTTTGCATCTAGGTGGCTAGGAAGCAGAGAGCAGTGGATTCTGAAGGGCATGAGAGCCTGGAGGACCTGTCACCAGAACCTACTTCCTCCATCAAGGCCCCACCTCTTACTTCCCAGTAATGCCATCTCTTAGGTTCAGATCCATCCAAGGATTCCTTCATTCCTTCTGTCAGAGCCCTGATGACCCACTTATCTCTGAAAATACCCTTGTGGATACTTACTAATATCTTAGGTGCATCTTTATCCAAACAAGCTGACAAGCATGCTTAACCATCACAGTCTCGTTTTAGGATAAGGAAGTGGGCTCTTTACTTCCCTAGAGCCTGGACATCATCAGTTTGAGGGACTTCTTTGAGTCATTAGCAAGACCATTGGTGACTATCTCTGGTTTAGGCTTTTCTCTTTGCATATCAGCTTGAGGCTTTTATCTTGTTGGTGGCTGTGCTGAGCTTGGATGCTCTGTGAGGAGCTTGGATGCTCTGTGAGGAAGGGTCTCAGGTGTCTCCTTTCTGCAAGAGAAAACTGAGACTTTTACTGTCATTAAATTTTAAATGTAAAGGTAATTTAAATTACTTAAATTACTCTGTGGGTAGAGGGTTGTCTTCTTCAGGGACTTCAACCTTTGGCTGCTGTCGCTTCCAGCAGGTGGCGCTGCAGCCAAAGTTTTGCCACTCCCATGACTCACCCAGTAGTTTCTCCTTTCTTCCTAGACCACGGTACTTTACTCTAGAATCTAATTAAACCAGCCCCGTCCTGATAGGCTTTGAACTCCCTCTTCAAGAGTGTAGGAGGAAAAAGTGGGGAAAAAAAAGTCTACAGCCCATGGCAAAATGGTGATGGTAGCTGAGGAAATGGGGCGCAGAAGGACATTTTGTCTGAAAGCATGGGCATCTCTAGAGAAGCTCTGCAAACCTGCAGGACCAGTGGACAACCCCCCCTCCCCACCGCCCAAATTTCTCAGACAATGAGGATAAGAGGCAGCTTGAAGAAGTTAGCTGCTCAGGCGTTGTTGGAGATCACCTCAGTTAATTGACTGTTCTCACACATCTGACCTGACCTTTCCGTCAGGATCTCTGGCTCCTGCTTCCTGGTTCCCTAAAAGGACTCCCCTGCCCTCTGCCACACTTCCTTTGAGCATCCACAGACTTCCTCCCTCCACCTCCACCTCTGGCTCCTGCTCCTTCCCCACCGTTATTTATTTTTTTTCAGAATCCCTGGAAGAAGTGTAGTTTTCAGTCCCCCAAACTGCTTCTTCCACTTCCACCCTGACTAGGCTCAGTCTATGAAGAGAAACATGGAGAAAAAGGATTCTTGTTTCCAGTAATTTGACTCCTGAGCCCCAGACACCAGTGGGTCGTCACATACCTTGCCAATGAGGCCATTATGAGCTTATCTGGAAGGCCAAGAGTAGGAAAACCCCACTGAAGTCCCAAGGACAGCCCTGTCAGCTCATTAGCCAGGGCCAGACAGCTGAGGTCATCACTGCCACCCACTGTGGCCTCAGTTCCACGTATGAAGACTCACATCAGAGAAGAGCATGGGACTTCACTTTCTCCATGGTAAAAAAAAAAAAAAAATGAGCAATGTGTGTGATATAAAGAATTTAAGCAGAAAACAAAAGTCTACAATGAAAAAAGATTATCCTTTATTCAAAAAGGCACTGTGGACAATTTTAGCCACCAAGTTTCAAGAAATCAATGTAGTGTCCCAAAGGGAGATGTTGGTTTTTGTTTTGTTTTATTCAAGTGACTCTCTTCAACATTTCATATTTGGACACAAACACAGTAAATGCCACTAACAATCTGGACACCTGAGCCTTGAGGAGTCTGGGTGTGCAGATAGGCCTAAACCAGCCCAAGTATGACTACCTTAAACCAGCTCTCACTAGAGGGCTCTCTTGACTTCTCTGCCACAAAGAGCCTTTTTTTTTTAGGCTCCAGAAAAGTCCTGGGAGGTTCAGGTGGGTTTATAAGGTAGTGGGGTTTAGGGCAGCTGTCCTGATGTTTTTGGCTTATTGTATGTCTGGCTGAGAAAGTACCTTTATGAGTGTGATGGTTAAAATTGATTATTGACCTAACAGGATCACATGGTGATGGGATGGTGGGCATGTGAACCAAGTATGAGCTGTAGAGAGGCTGTCCCCCTTTGCTGTGTAGGGAACAACTAAACAGACTAGAATGGGTTAGAGACACGTGAGTTGAATAAGTTAGGCTATGTAGAGCAGACTAAGAAGGTCTAATTTTGGAAGGCCTGTAAACTTAAAGTATGTGCTTTGGATGAGGATGGAGAAGGATACCACCTGGTACAGAGGATGCTCAACAAAGACCTGGAGTTGGGGGTGGCTCTACAGGGTGGCTTTACAGGTCTGTGAATATTGAAATAAGAACTTGTAAATGAGTGGGGCCCAGAGTACAGGTGTGAGGTGGGGAGCTGAAGTTATCTTGAATGAAGTTAAAAGTCTAGATGCTGTGAGCCAGGAACTCTCAGCCTGGCTTGACTCTGTTCCCAGAGGACATTTGGCATCAAGAGTCACTTTTCTTTATTATTAGTACTATAGAGAAAGGCACTGTTAGCAGCGAGTCAGTAGAGGTAGAGGATTCTCCAAAAATCTAAAATGCACAGCATGGCCCCAATTACAAGAAATTACTCAATCCTCAAATGGCAGTGATGCTGAGGCCAAGTCCTGTTCCAAAGACACTCCTGTAAAACCTCTTTTCTGTTCATCATTCTTTAGCAGATGTAGTAGGTGTTGACTGCCCTTTTGTTTTAATGAATGGGCTTCTCATTCCTCCCTATCTCCCCACACCATCTTTCTTCATTATCCTAGACACTAAGCAGAAAAGATCTCTGCATCCTATTCATGAATTCTCAGTTAAGAGGAGAAGCCACCAAGTCTGCCTTGTTCTGGCTCCGTTTCTAAGATTCCATCTCCCCCCACACTAGGCTTTTACTTTCCATTTTCATGTCTGTGTCATTGGAAATAACCAGATAAAACAGCTTTATATAGTTCAAGGCCCTGTAATGTGATTGTAACACTGTGTCATCTCATGAGCTTCAGAGCCAAGGTGCTAATTAAGCTCTTCATTGTCCCAAGTGATACAAAAGCTCTAAACCTGGTGAACAGTGTGCAGTTTTGGTTAGGAGACAACAGTGTGCAAGAGCCACATATTTATATCACAGGGAAAAGGATTAAAACAGAAAGACAATGCAGAGCACTAAGATCCTCTTCTCATTTAGAATGAGGGCCAGATACTAGAGAGAAAACCTCATGTCATTAGAATGTCGAGGAGGGTTGTGACCCTCACAAGTGTCTCTGTCCCTGTCTTCCAGTGTTACATGTTCCACATGTATGTGGGTGTCCGTGCTGGAGGGGGCATTGGTGATGAAATTGAAGACCCAGCAGGAGATGAGTATGAGATCTACCGCATCATCTTCGACATCACGTTCTTCTTCTTTGTGATTGTCATCCTTTTGGCCATCATACAAGGTAAGCCGTACCCAGCTGTGGCTCCTGGGTGTCTTGAACTTGAGCCATCTGCTGCTGAAGGCAGAATGCAAGGTGGGCTGACAGTATCACATCTTTTCTGTCAAGGCCTAGTGGAACTTTTTCATCTAGTATTTCTCCTTATAAAATCTCTAGATGGAAAATAAAGAGGAATGTGTTCATATAAACAATCAGACAAACAAACAAACAGATAAACAAACAAGCAAGGAAACACAAAAACCTCATAGCTTTTACCATAAAGGGAATAAGAGACAGTTTATTCTTGGACTAAGTTTGAGTGATCAATCATGGCCTGGGAACACAGACTTAAGTTACCCCAAATTCTATGTTCAAACATAGAAGCAGTTTCCTAAAGCTTTATAGTTTTACAGAATAGAAAAAGGAATCATAAATCAAGGCAAATTTCAAAGACACCAGTGAGGACCTCAGAGAAGCGGTTACAGCAAGATGGGGAAAGTGTTTCTATAGACCTCAGATGCTTCCTGATGACATTCTTAGCTTTTAGGTAGGTGGAAGCTAGGGGTCTGCTAAGCTAACAGATGCTAAGGGTTTTAATCTATTAACTACAGAATGTTAGTTCCTACACAGAAGTAGGCAAGAAATGGGCTATTCAGGAGGTTAAAGCTAGTCCAAGATAAGGTAATTAGCCTGGATGGGCAGCATCCCAGCCTCTCTCCATCACTGCAGTTCTGATCAGCCAGTCTTCTCCATACACAGCTTCTTTCCAGGAGTTCTCATTGTCATGTGGGTCCCTGGGATGTAGTGTGGTGGGTATACTTTTCCTTGATCTCTCTCTCTCTCTCTCTCTCTCTCTCTCTCCCTCCCTCCCTCCCTCCCTCCCTCCCTTTCGTGTGTGTGTGTGTGTGTGTGTGTGTGTGTGTGTGTGTGTGTGTGTGTGTATGACAGGCATGCTCATGTGCATGTTAAAGACAGAGGTCAATTTCAGGAGTCTTCTACTTTTCTTTCTTTCTTTTTTTTGAGCCTGGGTCTTTCTCTGGAATCTGTGGCTCTCCAGTTAGGCTAGGCTGGCTGGTCAGTGAGCTCTAGGGACTTGTCTCTGCCTTTGTGGGATTACTCCACCAAGTGCTGGGATTACAAACTCTACCGTCTCCAGCTTTTGCCCTCTAAGAATTGAAAGCACACTTTGCTGACTGAGCCATCTTTCAGCCGGTTTGATTTCTATTTATGAAAAACAAAAATGTTCTACAGGGGTTGGCTCCTGGTCTTGCCACATGACCAGCTTTGAAAGTTTGGAGGGGATGAACCATTCATCCTGAGACAGTAACTCAGCTTATGCAACTCTCTAAGTTCTACAGTTGTGGAGAACTACCAAACAAGGGCATCAGTTCAAGTCTCCTCTACAGTATTGGTACCTGATTAGCTCATCATGCACAGTCGTGTCACTGTCATTGGTGACTCCCTACTACGTGCCAGTTGTGTCTAGTAACTCATGTTACCCTTCCCTGATATCATGAGGGTTATATCATGTCAAGACTTACAATGTATGTGGGAACTAACTAGTCTAGGGGAAGTCTCAGTGTCTTGCCAAAGTGTGTAGCTGCCCAGGATGGGCAGATTGGGTTCAGAATCTTTCCCTGAAACCACAGAGCAGTGTCAACCACTAGTTTTTCCTCTTCCTCTGGCTAACTTGGAGTGAGATCCCTTTCTCTCAGAAAGTCACCCCTGCTTTTTTGTTTGTTTGTTTGTTCCTTAGTTAACACATTCATCCCAGCTCAAATTAAATGTCTGTAAATAAGACATTATCCTTTATGTTCCACAGGTGTGACATGATACTGGTAAAGTGTATAAATAAGTATAAAGGGTTCATAATACATCTGCAATGTCTTTATAGAAGGCAACATTATTGCTTTATAAGAAGGAAAAGTTGGGGCTAGAGAGATGACTCAGCAGTTAAGAGCACTTGCTGCTCTTCCAGAGGATTGAAATTGAGTTCTTGGTGCCATGTAGGGCACCTCACAGCTGTCTGCAACTACAGCTCCATGGAATCCTGCACCCTCTTCTGGGCTCTGTGGGTACCTGCACACATGTGCACATATACACTCATAGAAATGCACACATACATATAAGTAAAATAAGTCAGTTTTTAAGAAGCAAGAAAAGTCAAAACATTTGGAAGTAGCAGTTGGGAAGTCACAGAACAGAAAGGAGGCAAAAATGCAACAATTCCACTTATCAAACATTCATTCACGTTTGATAAAATTATGAGGGGTTATAAGGTTGATACATATATCTCAGTCCATACAATAATGTTTTATTTGATTATCTTTTTGTGGGGCTTTCTGTATTTTTTTTTTTTTTTTTTTTTTTTTGGTTTTTCGAGACAGGGTTTCTCTGTGTAGCTTTGCGCCTCTCCTGGAACTCACTTGGTAGCCCAGGCTGGCCTCGAACTCACAGAGATCCGCCTGGCTCTGCCTCCCGAGTGCTGGGACTAAAGGCGTGCGCCACCACCGCCCGGCTAGGGCTTTCTGTATTTTACAACCATAAATCTCAGCTACCCCTTTCACCCTGCAGTAAGTAATAATATAGCTTGTGTATGTGCCAAGTTAATTAGCATTTTTTTCTAGCTTGTCACTTCATTTTAAAATGCTTTTCCAGTGCGTGTCAGTTCAAGTCACTGTATGTTCCATTCTCAGAGAATGTCACTTCCCTAGTAAGAAGCAGCCAGTGCGACCTCAGATTTCTACCATGTTCTAAGTGTTTCCTAATGTGGCTGTATTCTCATTTTCTTGGGAAGGAATATCCAAGGAGTTATGAGTTGAATGATTGCTCATAGTTGATGGGCATCACATAACTTCTCTTTTCAACACTAGGTTTGATCATCGATGCTTTTGGAGAACTCAGAGACCAACAGGAGCAAGTCAAGGAAGACATGGAGGTGAGGCATTTGTGGCTTGGTTATGGTGGTGCTGTGGGTGATGCCCTAGTTCCTCAGGGTTCACTGAATTCACTTGAAGCTGCACATAATCACTGTAATCCCAAAATCCTGGCTTGAAGGGAGGTTCTGCTTCACTTTGGCTCCTGGTATGGGCCTTCAGTCCTAAGCATAGACCACCCACCTGACACCATGTATAAAGACAAATCCAGAGTAGAGCAATGCAGAAAGATGAAGGAGGCTATTCCTAAAAGTTTATTTAATAACTGGACCAGCACTTGACCAAGGAAGGACTTTTTCCAAATCACTGATGAAACACCTCATAATTGGTCTAAGATTTGTACCTCTTTTGTTTGGGTAGTGGACTTTGTTTGGATAGCTGGCAAATTTTCAATTTCAGCTGAGAATACAGTTAATCCTGTTTAGCTAATTACTCAGTGTCATGAACCACTAAGTCTAGATGTGTGCATGTGGGCTGTAGAAAAAAAATGAAAGCCATCACTGATTAGTTATCATTGTCCTCCTGCTGGAACCCATATTCCTTAGGAAAACCCCAAGATATAGTTATGATGGCAGTTAAATTTGTGCTCAGGGGCCATGGCACAATCCTCACAAAGTGATGCTTGGCATATGTTGAGCAAGTCACATAGTAATCTTCCTTTCAACAATGTATCATGTACCATTTTCTGAGGAGGTGTCAACAAAGGCTTGTTTATCTCAGATAGGGCACTGCGTCAGGCTAAAGAAATGATTCCAACCCAGTATAACTTGGTGGACCATTGAATGCATTGGGATTATTTACAGGAGCATGGGTGAGGGATTGCTTCAGGATTGTGGGTAAGAGGCTACCCACAGCAGCATTGGTGAGGGGTTTTTAAAGCATCATGGTGGAGGGATTGCTCACAAGAGCATGAGTGACTTATAGCAGTGACATTTCAGAAAGACCCACCAAGATTGGGTAATACCTTAGGACAGCTGCATCCCCAGAGCTCCCACCCACTTTACAGACAGCTGCCTCAGTCTCTCCCTGCTAACCTAACCTAAGGGAAGGGCCTATTGAACCTATAACTCTCTCAGCTTCCTGAGCCGGTCAAGTTTCCTGTGTCCAGTAAGTTCCTGGTAGGTTTCCTGAGCTTCCTGAATTGTGTGGGCAGTTCTTCTTCCTCCAGGAGGGATTGGCAATATTGACAGGTAGCAGTTGCATAACCCAGTGAGTGGACTGTGTGTTCATTTTTGGCTATCCTGTGCCTTCTCTGACATCTTGCTTGCCTCCCTTTGTCTTCTAGACCAAGTGCTTCATCTGTGGGATAGGCAATGACTACTTTGATACAGTGCCGCATGGCTTCGAAACACATACTCTACAGGAGCACAACCTGGCCAACTACCTGTGAGTGTCCCTCATGGGGTCTTCCCCTCCCCCAGGAGCCCATTCCCTCCCATCCCTGTAAATTCCAGAGGCAGGTAGTGGTCAGACTCCTACAGACTCCAACAGCCCTGGAGTAGGCAGACTTAAATGGTTAAACTGTCTATATTCCTGTGAACGATACTGATTGAGGGATCTAGAATGGGAGTGGAGTGGCATGGAGCTTTGCAGGGAGGCCTGGCTGTGCTCCTATTTCAAGCAGGAACCTTGCTGATGCAAGCCTAAGACGTGGATCCTCCCTCCTATTTTCCCTATTTTGGCATCCCCACCCTTTTGAACACCTATAGGTCTCTCTGGACACTACAGAAAGTTCGGTTAAAAACTGGCTTTTGTCGTTTATATTGATAGTCATATGTTAGTTTTTTTTTGTTATGTTTTGTACAGTCATATATATGTATGTATGTATGTGTTTATATGTATGTGCATGTAAGTATATATAGGTGTATCGTATATGCATGTGTGGAAAATGAAAATTTGGCTTTTTGGTGAGACTAATCCAAACAACAGTTTATCAAAATATCATTTTTAGTTTCAGATCTAATTTTAATATCAGATGGACAAGATATATCAAGTAACATTATTGGGGGAAAGTGGTTGAACTATGTATACTCAATTAAACTGATAAAAATATGGAATTTATGAAGCTAGTCTTCAATTAAAATTTGTCAGTGTTGATTTGAGCCTGACCAAAAACAATGTACATCCAAGGGCCAGGCATGGTTGTACTTTAATCCTAGAACTGGGGGGGTAGGGGTGGATGGAACTCTGTTTACATGGTGAGTTCCAAGCCAGCTAGGGCCACAAAATGAGACGCCAGTCCTAAAACAAAGAAAAGTAACTCAGATATAGAATTGCGTGTAAGATTAGATAAGCCATCTCAGAGAATATGCTTATTTCTTTATGGTCCACTGTAATTAATTTTCAAAAACTGCTTTTATGGTGTTTTCTCTATTTCCATAATACAATGCAACCAGGATATACTATGTAAGCATCCATCCTGTTCATGCTGGTATTTCCATGTTGTCCATTCCTGACCAGTTTCTTTGTCTCTGTAGGTTTTTTCTGATGTATCTCATAAACAAGGATGAAACAGAACACACAGGACAGGTGGGTGAAGAGCAGTTTTACACCATCTTCAGAATGAAACTGTAGAAGAGAGGTGGTAGATAATGTAACAGAATGAAGATGTTCAGCACTTGGGGAAGAATTACTTTCGGGGGCTAGAGAGATGGCTGAGCAGTTTAGGGTGCTTTCTGCTTTCTGGAAGACAAAGGTTCAGTTCCATCACCCACATGGCAGCTGACAACCACTTGTAACCTCAGCTCCAGGGGACCCAGTGCCATCTTTTGGCCTCCATGAACACTGCACTCCACGGGCACATAACCACACAGACACACAGATTTGATTTAAAAAGAAACATTTTCTTTAGATATTGATTATGGTATCTTGAGATAACATTCCTTTGTGTGACATAACTAACAAAGAGATTGCCTCCTTTGAAACAATGAAATTCTAATTTTCTATTTAAAAATAAGCTTTTAACTGAATATAGCGGGTTTACTTATGAAACCCATTTCTTCTACAAAAATTGTTTATCATGTGACCTATACTTTCAAGTGAACTTCTGCTTACAATATTATAATTGGAAAAAATTCAGTGTCTAAGGTTTTCAGGAAATTCTGAAATTCCCCTTCTGGGATAATAGTTTAAACTTGAACATGGATAAAATTAATAATGATAATAAATGATAACCCCATAGACTTTATAAATATGTTTTATCATTATTATATTATTGTCAAGCTGAAGGTGTTTTTATTTATTTGAAGATTATATGCTTATTATTGAAGGTAATTTAAGTGGGGCTATCTGAGTGCAATTGGACATTTCCAGTTTTATGTGATATATCAAGAGAGTTGGGTGTTATCGTGTAGTCTGCCCTGTGTTATCCCATAGATTTTGGAGACCAGGTTAACACACTGATTTCTTCTGTTGACAGGAATCTTATGTCTGGAAGATGTATCAAGAGAGGTGCTGGGAGTTTTTCCCAGCAGGGGACTGTTTCCGGAAACAGTATGAAGACCAGTTAAATTAATATCATACCTGAATTGTCTCTGAAAACCAAAAGCAATCTCTCTCCCTCTCTCTGTCTCTCTGTACCTCCCTCTCTCTCCTCTCTGATCCCTTCGAACACCTGCTCATATTTTCCACTAGCCAGCATCCTGTGCTGAGAGCACTGATGCTCAGTCTCAAAGGACCTGACTGTTGTCCCCCAGCCTCATGTGTTTTCATTGAGAAATCAAGACTGAAGAACAATCCAAATCCACATTCAGACTAAACAGGAACCCTGGAAAGAAATCCATTGTGGACACTCCACCATACCACCCATGGACAGCTTCCCCTGAGGGTCATGGAGTCTCCAGGAGCCGCCAGACCTGCGCAGCCAAGCATGGCAGCCACACTCACCCGGGCTCTTTATTTCGCCATCCCAGAAGGAAGTGTCTGAGGGTCATAGAGCACTGTAGCACTTAACGGGTTACCATGGACACCAGTTGCAAAGGGAAATAGTGCCTTACTATAAGTGGGTTGAGCTATGCAGAAGATAATGTGCATGACAAACACCTTTATTTTCTTTATGTCAACCTTTTTTTTTTTTTTTTTTTTTTTTAGCTAGGTTGGTTTTGTGATTTTGGTTTTATATTTTATTGTTTTCCTTTATTCTTTTCTTTGGTCAGGGAGGGTAAGAAAAGCTGTCTGCACCTTTTTCAAAAGATGGGTGGTGTGTCTCAGGACAGAAGGAGGCTCTGCTCATTCAGCTACGTCACATTTACCCTCCCTACTTTGGTAAACACTCCGATGCAACGTGGCAACTTATGAAATCTTTGTATGAAAACAAAAAGACTGCAAAAAATACAACTTTAAAAAGAAATAATTCATTGCATGTTTATTATGCAAGTTTAAATGAGCAAAGAAAGCCTTTGGGGACAAGTTGATCACCACAGGAGAACGTCTACGATAATTACATCCATAGTAACAAATGTCCGGAGTCAGTGTCATCCACCGACCGCTGAAGCTATCACCGACGTGACAGGTGTCTTGGGTTTTCCCCTTTCTTTTGGCCACCTGTGATCAGTCATTAGTTAAGGACGCCTTGTCGGGCCATCTTTTGATATCCAAGCTGAAGCAATATACATTCAGAGATTTCATTGGTTGCGTCATGAGACATGGGTGGCCATGTACATCGATTCATTTTATGTGTTTTTTTTCTCATTTTGAGTCCTTTTAAATGTAATGCTAAACTTTACAATTAAAAAGACAGGTTCAGAATGGAAGCGAGGTCATTCTGTGAACATTGGAGATCTTTTATTACAAGTCTGCTTGTTAATTTTAGAATTGTAAAATGGCTCTAATTAAACTATTTAACTAACTTCCTTGTCCTCCTTTCCTCTCTTTCCATTTCACTTTTACCAGGGAACCATAGAATTCCAAGCTTTTAACTGAGTTGTGTGTAGGACAAACCCAGACACCACTGAGACCTTTCACAGTCAGACACATGTATTTGTAACTAGGGAGACTTAGGTCCACCAGGCACTCAGCCCCACACTTGTCCTTTCCATGTTATGGGATAATTCCATGACAGAATTCACTCTTCCCACTCTTAAAATTTCCATACATCTTTCACTTTAAAGAACCCTTCCTTGCTCAGGGAAGTGAATTTTTCAATAATAATAATAACAACCCACTTCATATCTTAATATGAAAGAGACGTGGGACACAAATGACACAAACACACAGACACAAACTAAACACGTGTGAGGTGCCACGGACCATCGAGGCTATCAGTCACACATTCCCTGTTCTATTAGGCCTTATTATCACATTGTCTGAACTACAGAACCCGACTTTTGTGTTTGTTTTTCAGTATCACTTTTATTTAGAGGAATGGATAAATCCAGCTGCACTGAAGAAATTCCTTCCCAGCCTTCTCAGAACTAGGACCTTATGCCCTAAAGAGTCTGAATCAAATAGACGAGGTCAGCTCTCTAACACATCAAAGAGCAGCTAGCCCTGTGCCGTGACACATTGTAGAGGAAAGTTCACGGGAGAATAACTCATTACTCAAGACATAAAGTCTTGGGGGTACTTTCAGGTCTTCTATTTATAGTGTCTACATTGGAGTCAACATAGAGCAGCCGTGCAGGTAAGAGACAAAGGAAATAAATTCACAGATTTGTCAAGGTCTTGTGCACTTTACGGACAGACAGCTCCTGGGAGGTAGTAGAAATACTAAGGAAAGAGACATTGGAATTGGGGAAATGAGGCTTCCCTTAGCCAATGGACTTTGCACACACATTGGTATTGGAAGAAAAGTAAAAATTCAGGTGGGTCACTTACGCAAGCCTTGCTTGTCTATTCTTCATCATTGGCCAACAGAGCAGGACATCACTCTAAGATCATCAAAGAGAAAATAGTAAAACCAAGTATGGTGGTGTATGCCCCAAGGTGGAAGCTCTGGGCCAGAAGTTAAAGATATCCCTAGGCTACATAGTGAGTTCAAGGCCAGCCTGTGATAGGTGAGACCCTGTCTGAGAAACAAAGTGAAAGGAACTCAACCTTATCAGCATTATTTATCCTCTAAGGAAACGTGTCAGGGAATCTCAAACAGCATGACTCTACCTCTCCAACTCACCAGGCTGCCTGACTCAAACTCAGGAAATGTGATTGTGTGAGGTATCTTTATCTTCCATCATCGAATACCTGAGTGAAGCCAATAATGGGAGAAAGGACTCTTGTGGCTCATGGTTTGAAGGTTACAGTTCATCAGGGCAGGGATGTGGTGGCAATGGATCCATAATGTTGGAAACTGTTATATTGTTTGTTCATATTTCAGCCAGTCAAGAAGCAGAGGGATCAGCCCTGCTCTCTATGGCTCTATATCTGCCAGCTGGATCCATGTCCAAAAGGTTCCACACCTTTCAAAATTGCATCACCAGCTGTGGACCAGGTTTTCAAACAGGAGCCTGTGAAGGACAGTTTCAATTCAAAGCATGGCAGTCATCCTAGAAATATTCTATCCCCCTCATCCACAGGAACATTATCATGGTCACTCTGGGTCCTGACACAAGCTTCAACATATAGAAATCCTTAAGATCTTCAGTTCTTGTCTAAGTTTTTTCTCCCTGAAAACAAATTTTCCTATGATCCATAGAATAAGCTAAGCTTCATGGTTTTAGCTAAAGCTTTCCAAATGCCCTTTGGTCATGTAGCTTACATGGCCCTTCTTAGATGTACATCTGGCATGTTTTCAAGGGCAAGATGGTAGCTTTCCTGTTAGCCTCTGATAGCCTATATCAAGCAGAACAGTTTGAACAATCACAGGCTCCTTATGACCTTATAGACTTTAGCAGGAAAGCAGAGAGTTGGGAATGTTTTGAGTAAGCATCAGTGATGCTCACTAACACCCTACTTTTGTGACAAGAGGATCCCCAGGGGAATCAATACATAACCAGCTTCAGTATGTACAGTTGAGCATACTCTTTATGAATAAAGAGACAAAGTCTGTTTTACTCTTGAGTGATAAGAAATGCCCATTAGAGTTTGTTTCGGTGTTGAGCCCATTTCTGTAGTGAACACTTAGTTTTCATAAATATCCATCAGTTATTTCACTGTTGAGGTTATACCATTCATCACAAGTAACATGATTTTAGTTCATATTTTCTTAGAAGTTTTGTATAACATTTCTAAAGAAGATTTCAGAAGGTTAAACAATTTATTAAGGTCAGGCCACAGAGGCATTTTCATAGCAAAGGGGAAACTAATACTTGGCTTCCTTGCCCATGTCAGGGAGGAAAAATGTCCCCTCTACTACTATGTCTAGTGTTTGGAAGCCTACAAATTAAACTGAGATGTTAGAAGGACAGATAGATTTAAATTTTGGCTATGACTTTATTTACTACTATCTTATGGCTTAAATTGCCCATTTCACAAGCTATGATAGATGCTGGTTGCTAATGCAATAAGACAAGAAAAAATATAATTGATATAAACAGTGGCATAAAAGGAAAATGAAAAATGTATAGATAAGATAGATAAGATGTTTTATAAAATGTAAAATAAGATTAAACAAAATAATCAACAAGGTGGCACAATAAAAAAGTTTCCTTAACAAACATGGCTGATATTAAAAACTATGAAGTGCTAAAAAAATACATAAAATAAAGTGGAGAAAACTTGCATGAGAACCATAAGGTATTACTCAACATTTCTACCTTATGAACCTGAGAGTTCACAGGAAAATGTGGGTCACTGCTGCAGAGGTATAAGCTCAGATACCCATGAGCTTTCTGAAAGTATTTAAATTTTAATATGCTGTTTCATAGTCAACAAAAATTGTCCATACTGATCAGTTTTTATTACTTAGAACAAGAAAGGAAATAATTCTAGGAGCCTGGGGAGGCAAAGGAGGAGAGAAGAATGAGAGAGAGAATGAACAAGGGAAAATGTACTCTGTGTCTGGATAGCACTGAAGCACCCAAGACAGTGTTGTCAGGATGAAAGCAGGGAAGGGATGAGTAAGGAAGGGGCAGCAAAGATTTACAGTACAAAAAGAGTCCAAGCCATTGTTGTTGACTGAAGATGAAAGAAGAGAGACAGTAAATGTAATGTCCAGTTGACCTCTAGGATTAGTGAATGATCTTGGCTGACAGCCAGAAAGGATAGAGAAACCTCTGTCTCACAGCTTGTGGGATTCAATGCAGCCTGTGAGTAAGCAGGAAATGGATTCACTCCTGAGCACCCAGAAAGGAACAAGTTGTGCCTACATCATCTAACTCCTCAATGGTGTAGGGTCCCTGTCATGGGACTATGAAATAACAAATGAGTATTGCTTCAAGATATGAGATTTGTGGTACTTGTTATTCTAGCAACAGAAAACTAGTTTGAATAGAATAACCTAACAGTACAGCATCTGAGATGAAGTATACCTGAGACAAAGTTAATAGAAGTTTAGATTGCATAGGTGCACTTAAAAATATGGAGGGGAAAAAACTGCTCAAAATACACAGGGGAAAATAAAGCAGCATGAAATGGAGAATTTCTTTTAAACACAAAGCATAAGAAAACAATCTCAATAGTTGCTGAAGCACTGACTATATACAATTCTCTCTTGTGATTGAAACAAACATAGACGTGAAGAAATGTCTCAGCCTTAAAACAGTGTCTACAGAAGCCCCAAACTATGAAAATGCTCTATGCTGCGGAATACACAATCCCCACCAACAGCAGGGACAAAACAACCTCCAATGCTGTCTACTGTAGCCTCTTGCACTTTATACTCAACAACCTGGGCAAAGAAATGAGGGACAATAAATAAAGGCATCCAAACTCTAAAATAAAACTACATAGAGTAGACAGAGCCAATGGATGTGTGTTTAGGTGGCACACGTTTACACCTCTATACATATCTATAATTTTTAATGAATTTTTTCCTGATCCTATCAATCCAATATAACCCTGCAGAGCCCAGTCTCATTTCTCTACTTACCTGTAATTCCATTCCTAGTTGGAAACCTTCTACCCTCAACAGATTCACCACTTCGTCCCATACTCCTCATTATGTACCCTAGAGCCCATGGCCACATTGTCTTCTGCTTGAACATCCCCATCCCTGGGCTGTTATATCCCTGAGCTTCCAGGCCTCACTCAGCCACACAGAGACAGTTATTCCTGCCAGCATCACCATCTAGCCTAGTAACTATTTCCTCCCAGGGGCTTCTCACACTGTGAAGAGGCCCTCCTCAGTATTCTTGGATTTCTGTGCCCACTCTGGGGCTCTCCCACTGAGATTTATGCAACTGGATACTCACCTGATGGTTTTTAGGATACATTAGCAAAGGAGAAAGAGGGGGGGAGGAATGGATGGGGGGAAGTACTTTTGTTTTCTGACTAGCCCTTAAATTTTTACTATGTTGATCAATATTGTTTAATATTGATTATCAACTTGATGGGACCTGGAGTCACCTAACAGTGATGCCTCTGTATAGACACCTCTATACATATCTATAATTTTTAATGAATTTTTTGTGAGCATTTCCAGGAAGGATTAACCTTCGAGTGAGTGAAGACCCTCCCCCTGAGTAGGTGACACCTTCTGATGACTGGCCCACATGTAGAGAGGTCCTAGAAAAAGCCTTGTAGCCTGCCTGTGCTGTCTGTGCTTCTTAATGGTGAGTGACATCAGGTTCTAGCTTCTTCTGCCTTCTAATGTAGAGTGAAGATTATCAGCTCTCCAGGTATCCTCCAGGCCTTCCATACTAGATTGTTACTGTTGAAGTCTCCTTCTTCATGCTCGGAGCTGCTACCACATTCTCAGACCCTATCATGTTAGCATTCTGCTAAGTCCGTGTGTGTGTGTGTGTGTGTGTGTGTG